ATCACAGCCATTCTCACACGAAAGCTCAGACACACACAAACTGCTATTCCTGTAAATTACTAAGCAGCAGGCATATTAGCCCGTGACATTTAAGAAGCAGTCCCATTAACCCTGAGTCTGCTGGCTAGTGCCTTGCAATCTTTTTTTTCCTCATTTGTTTAGGAGAAAAACCCTGCCTTCCTAAATAGCATGAAATATGTTCTATGGCCAAAATTCCAGGTCACTGCCATAATGTCCAAAACCAAACAAGAATTCTTCTATGAGCAGTTCTGCCTCGTCCTCATACTTTTGCATACAATGTACAGATCAGATCATCCATTTTTTCCTCAGTTTAAGGTACTACCGCTCTCTCTCACCTTTGTGGCCAGAAAGAGGGATGGGAATTGCACCTATTCACTCCCAGTGATTCCCACATCTAGGCTGTTACTAGGAAAGACAAGCACAGCCATGAATTCTGTACCCTCGTGAGAACAACTATTTACTTTGAACTGCCAGAAGCATATTTGTCAACAGATCTGTAAGTCAAATGACATGGAGCCTAAGTGAAAGGAAGCAATTAATCCTTATCTTTTCACCCAGACGTTGATTATCTGTCAATTAACGTCAATCCACTAAAGCAAATAAGATCCAGAAATAATCCATGTTATGGTTTTGAGCTTGCTTTGAGAATGGCGGAACTTGCTTTGCCACAAGGTTCTCATTCTGGTTCCTTATTTGTCAAGCACAGTAGCAAAGGGCCCAACGGCAAGCTCTGGGCAGGGGAGAGCAAATCTTCCCATGTAGTAGGGCAGCATCAAGAACTTCCCCGCTCCCTCTCTCTCCAGCACCTTGCTCTCCTGTCATGCCTGATTTTACTATCAACAGTGCGTAGGTTTAAAAGTCTGCAGCAATCTGGAGAACGCATCACAGACTCCTCAGGCTCTGCAGGGGGCTGTTACCCCAGCAGGCTGCCATCCAACTCGAAAAAAGGAATTCAGCACATGCGCACATGCTTGAAACTTCACTAATTCCAGGATTCCAGGCAGAGCGCTCTGCTCGCTCAGGATTTGGAGGTGGGAAGCTTGCAGCCACCACGCATATGACAGACAGGTTGCTTTCAGCCTGCCCAGCACAGTAGACAGGCATGGTGTTAGTCTCCCTGACAAAGAACCCCTTGCAAAAAACCCAGTCCCTCCCCACCTGATCCACAAGACACTCCTGCACTCCCAGCTCAGCAGGCAGCTCTCAAAACCCTGTCCTTCAGCCACTTCCCACGGCGCACGATGCCCTCTCCTGGGAGGCCGAGGAAGGAGCCGGAGAAGGGGTTCCCAGTCAGAGTAGGATGAAACTGGGCAGGATTCCCCCCAGGAAGCCACACCATTGGGCACTGAAGGGAGGGAAGAGGGTCAGATTCCAAGACTCTAAGCATCTCCTTAATGAGACTACTCATCATCCTCTGCCTGGAGTGCCCTTGATGTAGAGGAGAGAAGCCTGCACGACCTGACCTCTGACCACTCCTCTGAGGAGCTGTTTGCAGGGAAAGAGGTCTGCAGGAAAGGCAGGTACACGTGTGGCCATCTGGAAACAGACAGCATCTTCTCCTTCCACTCACCTCCTTAGTGCGCTAGGGATGGGGACACTGGTTCTAGCTGTCTGTGAAGCAAGCTGCAGGGCGTGGAGAACAAGGCAACATCGTGAGCGCAGAGCTTGCGGTGCAGGGCCTACTGCCTGACCTGGTAGACAGACCTGTTTCGCCAGGCGCAGCTGGAAGAAACAGGGATAATGCAGGGCTGCAAGGCAGCTGCCTAAGGAAGAATAAAAAACGCTGGTGAGATTTTAGCCTTCATCCCAGGCCCACCACACCTCACCCCCAGGAACATCCGCTTTAAGGGAACTGACCATTTTTTAAATCATTTAAAAAATACCTCCTTCATCCCTCTCCAGACCTCCACCACATCCCAACTATTCTGTGCCCTCAGAGTTTACACAGGGAACAACACGGCAAAATCCGAGCAGCTTTGGGGTTTTTATACACAGCAGAGCATCTACCTAACAAGCGCAAATAATAAGAGAGCTTAGGTTGAGACCGAAAGCTATACCCAAATTCTTGGAGCAAATGCTGAGTGCGTAAAACACAAACTCAGCTTCAAGGAGAAATAAAGTATCCTACAGCAGAAAGCACTCGTTTCAGACACGGAAAAAGCACAGCACAGGCAGACAAGAAGGATGGGAGAGATTTGTGCTGGGTATAGATTTGGCAGGAAGAAAAGACCACAGCTTCATTTGTATAGCAGTGCCTACAGCCTTGAAGGAGACTGCAGTCCTCTTAGGCAAGGTGTACCTGCACAGTACAAGACCACTGCTGCAGTCCAGAGGCCTCCTGCAAAACCTGGAGACACTGGCATTTCCGCACACTTTGTGCAAAGTTCCACTCTGTCCTGCACCAAACAAGGCTGAGGAAGAAAGTGCCCTGATCCCCGATTGTCAGGGCATTCGGCCCTTCCCGCAGCCACGCGTACTGGGCTCAGCGCGTGCACCTGGCAGCTGGCGCTTGCACACTAGGCCCTGCAGCTGATCGCTGCAGCGATCACGGCAAACGCTCGGCTTGGTTGCTTGCTGCTTGGGTTTTTCCACGCCCCCCCCCCCCCCCCCCCCTCCAAAATAGCTCGAAAAAAATAGCTGTTTGTCACGCTGCTGATATTGGAGTGGAGGCCTCATTAGCCCAGCTGCCACCTTGGAAGGTGGATAGCAAGGAGGATGAGGGCAGCTGGGAATGAAGCAGCAACATCAGGGACAGCAGATTCTGGAGATGCAAAGACGCATTCTTCTTGTCAGCCTCCCTCGTGAAAAGCCAGAGAGAAAATAATGGATATTTATAAGCAAACCTGTCTCTAAGGCAGCAGTTTCCAAAGGCTAATAATAGGGTTTGGACTTGTTTATAGCGTGATTCAGACGGCCAGGCATAAAGCTGCTGGAAATCTCCTGCCTGTCCCCAGAGCATATTCCCAAGAAGCTAGAAGTTAAAGGAGGGCCTGGGTCCAGCTGCAGAGAGTTCACGCCAGCCGGGCACCAACAGTGATGCGTCAAAGCCACCAGGGATGCTGGATCAAAGTAAAGCCCCAAACGAGCCCTAAAGGCTCCTCGCAGGGAAGGGCAACAACCCACTCCCTGTTCTAGAACAGCAAGGCAAGAAGCCGAGGAGCCTGTTAATGACATCTCTTGCTTTGGCTTTTGTTTGGCTTCTCCGGTCTGCAGCAGCACCCAGCTAAGTGCAGAGTATTACCGTGCGAGGCAGGCAGGGGCTGCACCTGCCTCCAAGACTTTGCAGCTGTGCCAAGACTGTCACAGGTGTAGAAAGCTACCTGCAGCAGAACTCACAGTGAAAAGACAAGTTGCCAGATTGCCACTCACAGGCCTTGACCCCTGGGCTGGGTTCAGACCAGAGCTGCTACGAAGCGTAACTGCTTATGATTTCACCACAAAATCCACATTCACTGACCCTGTTGTTATTCTTGCTAACTCAGATAGAACATGTTGAAACTGAAGCTTCCCCGGCCAAGTAGGAGGGGAAGATTAAAAACAGGAAGGCCAAAGCAGCCTCCTCTTTGTACGGGGGAGAAAACAGGGCAGGGTTCTGCCGTACAGGGCAGCACCTGGACAGCATGTTCCGAAGCATAAAAACTGCAGTTATCAGATCTCCACCCTGCTCCTTGCCTAAGAGAGAGAGCTTTTCTGGCCAGCCCATTCCAAGGCATGGCAGAGGGAACCTCAGAGCGCTCCTCTTTGCCTGCTACCGGCAGGACGAGGGATACAGCAATGCCACGGCACACTGTTAGAAACCAGAGAGCCTTCTCTTTGCGTGGTGTAGAGCAAGGCAGAACTCCAAAATGCTTTAAGAATGCTTTGGACACAGCTCCACCTCTTGGCACAAATCTCTTCACGTGCACATTCAGAAAACAAGATCCTGCATCCAGAGACCTGAGCCTGGCAAGCAATTCTTCCAGTCTGCCCCACTCCCTTCCCGCCGGCCCCAAAACACACACTCCTAGCACTGTACACTCCATCAAGTCTGTTTATTTACCAGCAATCATCTCCTTATTGATTGCTGTTTGCTTAAATGGCAGTAGCGTGCAGAGTAGCGTGCAACAGCCCTGACCTGTGAATTTTGAACAGATGAGGGGAGGCTTAACCTTTCCCATTGGAAATATCACCTAGAGCTCAATCTTTATGCCAAAAGCAGCAAGAGAAGCAGCTTTTCATACTGAAGAGCTTCAGCTGGGAGTGACCGACTGTCTGTGCCCTACCTTCCGTCTGTCGGAGAGCACCACCCAAGACAAGGCTGCGTTCCCACAGGGCCTAAAGGAGAAGAGGTGCAAGCAAATTTGGAGGACTGAACCTGTTGCTATGAAGGCTCCTTCTATACCAAAGACACTAGACAAAAAGTAACTTCTAGTTACAGGCTCCATGGGTGGCCTTAGATGAGCGACACAGGGTCAAGACCCCCACAGCTTCCACTGAAATCAGTTCAAATCTCCTTTTCATTCCCCATCTATAAAAAAAGAACCACCACCTTTCCTTTCTTTGTCCCATCTCTTTAGCCTCCAAATCCTCCAGGTGGCAACCTGCCTCGCCCTCAGTCTGAATGTCTGCAACGCAAAGGTGGGCCAAGTGCTCTAACTGCACCTGCATTTGCCTCCCGGAACCAAACATTTGATGACTTCCACCAGAAGATGTCATCGTCAAGTTATCAGTCTCCTACCATTCACGCCAAAACACAAATCCAACGAGAGATGGAGGTAGAGTAGCCACAGTCCTTTAAAACTGCTATTTATTGTAATGCCTCTCCACGGTAAACACAAAGTTCAAGGCTAGGACAACACGGAACAGTCAGATACACAGCACCAGAGAGAGGTGCAAGTGGTTCTTTAACCCATTTATTCAGTTTATAGTCATGGATGAGCATGGGGAGGGGCAACGTGGAGGACAGGAGTTTCTGCTGTGATTCACCACTTAGAGGCCTGTTCTACACGTACAAACTTTCAGAACAGGAGGGCAATACCATGAGCAGAGATGCTGCAATGCTCATCTGCACCGTGCCTCTGACCTTCCAGGAGAACTCGTGGAAGTTGCTTGGACAAAATGCTTTTAGTGCCATGTTTGGCTGTCACGAGGGCTGATATTTGCACACAGCACAACGCATCTGTCTGCAGAGCACCAAGGTTTACATACCACAGATGGTCCTTACAAAGTCTGAATTCAGAAGAAATCTCAGCTTTAAACTTCCACAGTGGAGTCCAAGGTAAAAGGACTGCATTCCCAAGGACCTAATCACCCAGACGACAGAGGTGAACGGTTCACTATGTGTTTTGCACTGTGCAAAATGTGTCCCGAGTAGAGCACAAGTCCATTAAAAAGCCTCCTCCTCCTCAGTGAAATGCAAAGAGGAATCCAAACACCTGGCCTCCGTGAAGCACAGCGCGTCATCGGCCATTTGTCACTTCTGAGGTTCCACACATTGGGTTTTTTTGGCAGGTGGCAGGCATGTCCTCTACGCTACTGCAGACCACGGTGGAGATATCGTCAGCGTTACTAGAGAAACGTTATTGGGAGAACAGGGTTGTTGCAATGTGCAGCGTGCTGAGAGAAGCTGGGATGGAAACTGAGCCAGCCCTGTATGCAGGGTGGCTTCCACCTACGGTAGCAGGCTCCGCAGGCAAGAAAGCATAAATAACAGGAAGAGCAACACATCGTCTTAGTAGTTATGGCTCACCGAAGGCTGAAACTGGACCTTAATGAGAGTTCTATCACCAAGTCACGACATCCACAGGCAGGCCGATAACCCTATTTGCTCATTTCAAACATCTAAAGCACGTCACTCATTAGCACCTACTGACCTGACTGGTAGAATCAACAGCAGAAATAAATTTCAGAAGTAGCAAGAGATCGGAAGCCAACTTAATCATACACTCATCCTTACAAATCACTCTATGCACTGTGACGACAACTCTTCCAAGAAGAGACAAGGGAGTCAAAATCCAGGAATGCTGTGAGCAGTGGCTGTTCCTGGAGTCACAATCTGGGCTCAAGGGACTGAAGAGAACTCAAAATTATTTCAAAGCTGGAGGAGACTATCCGTCTCTCTGGTCTTCAAGTTGCATCTGGAAAATCGTTCTGAGGCTAATACGAAGTAAGCTTCTTCAGGACGTTCCTAGGTGGATATTTGATGGCTATCTGGTTGATTCATCAAGGGGGAGAAAAAAAAGAATAAATAAAAAACAAAAAGCTTTTAAGTGAGCAGTACAGTTCATCACTGGCCTCTTGCCTTTTTAGCTTATTTAGGGAGGAATCTTCGAACTGCAGCCATTGACCATGGAGTCCATTTTGCTCCCCTTCTTTGGAATATTCCTAATGTTCCTTCTGACTGTTCAGAGTCGTAAGGGGACTTGGCCCCTCCGTGCATTTCCAAGGAGTCTCCTCTGATTCAAGCCATGCCTTGCTCCTCATTCAACTCCTCCTGCTCTAATCCAGGAGTGTCATGTTAATTCACAGGCCTGTTGGTACAGCTTGCCCTTCCCATCTTGCTGAGCCGTCAACCTGCAGACCTGTCAAGAGACTTGCCTGTCCTACGATTCTACACCTGGGCCAGCCTATGCATCCCCTGGGGCACGTGCTTTGCTCTTTGCATACAAATCTACCTGCTTTCTGATGCTCCTGCCCGGCACTCCGTCACCGCACATACAGACCAATGGAGTCCCAGGCCCAGGAGTGGGGCACAGAGCCTACACAGGCTTTTTGCAAAGAAGGGAACATCCTCTCAGCTTCACCTCATGCCATCCCATTTCTGCATAGTTCTCAAGGAGGTATATGGAAAAAATAAAAGCCCTCTTCAACTGGCTTGCAATGTGTTTTAAAAATGGAGATAGAATGAAACAGAGCACTGCTTTGGAGCATGCTGGACCGATGGAACACACATACTGTCTACCTTGTAGGTTTGGGAAGCTAAAGATATTAATTACTGCCCCTCTGGTTCTCTCCCTTTTGCATATTTTTGGACATCTTACATACCGTAGACTAGAATTCAAAGGCTGCTATAGGCATCTTTACGGATTGTTTTTCCTTAAAAGTGTTTCCAAGACAGAGCAACCTCAGGATTTTTCTCCATGGCACAGACTGCCTCCTTCCCTTGAGATGCAGTGCATTCCACAGTTAATTGTCTCACAGTTTGGGGTTTTTTTTTTTTTTTTTTTCCTCCACCCTCCCCTTCTTTTCTTTCTCAAATGCAGTTATCTGAAAAAATCCTCAGGAGAAAGCGAGCACTACTTAGGTAGATGAGGACTATACAGAGACTTACAGAGAGAGAGCTGGAGCCAGATTTTTCCGGAGCCAAACTGCAGCCTGGAGCAGAACCTCACACTGTCGTTCCTTGTTATTTTTTCCTTTTCCTCTTCTCTAGTGTAACAGATAATAACACGGGGAGCAGCAGGGATAATATGGTCGTAGGTGGCTGCTGGATTTTCACACTGTTTCTTACCAGTATGTTCTGTGTAGGCAGAGCAGAGACCTGACATCAAGAACTGAAAGCTTTTTACAGCTGGAAACTTGCAGAGTGAAATCACTTCATGGGACATCTTTATTAGTGAATCTTACAAGCGCAATCTTTCAAAGAGAACGGAAGAAGCCTTAGGCAGCTGTCCAGCAGTGTCAGTGGATGCTTTTCATTTTGTTCAGCAGGTGTGTTGCTAGCCTCCCATTTTTTTCCTGATTGGCTTCAACCTCCGGGATTTGAGAATAGTGTAGTTTGCATAGCACGTGTGCTGTTCTGACAGGAGAGGGATGTAGAACGCACGCAGCAGTTTTGAGGACCTGAAACCAAAAAGGAAAAACAGATCGTCCTTGAAGCGCTCCTGAGCCAACACATATTCAAAATCATAGAAATGAGGTTTTGAAAAAGACCTGGCTGGTGGGCAAGCGATGCAGGGAAGGACAATGGTACAGACATACAAAGCCAGTCCATCTTTCCCAAAGCTGTTTTTTGCCAGTGTTACTAGCTTAAAAGCATGAACCTGCTCAGGTTTTCTAATACCATCTACTCCAGCAGGATTAAGGGGGAGAGGCTTGAAAGCAGCTTAGCTCCTGAGTATCACAGCCCAAACAGCAAACAGTATAGATGCGGGCCTGACAGAGGACTTGATACCATGCAGGCACACATGGCTCCCTCCTCTCAGGGCACCCTATGAAGCTAGAACAAGGCTGCAGTTAGCCTCTGACATCTGCTGACAAGTTCTGTTCAATCTGTCTGGCCACCTCTTCATGGTGTCTGAAGTAGAGAAACTTTGGCCAGCTCCGGGACTTGAGAATTTTGCTCTTCTGCTGAGGGCGCTGAATTAAAGAGCGATCTGCTGTTCTAAGGTCTACAAGGCAATTTGTTGCGGGCTGCCACTATTCACCCCTCAGCCTTCTGGTGCTGCGAGTTGGTGTTTCACAGCATTTTGCTACAACTATGCCAGCAGAGTACTCAAGCATGGAAGGCTTAATAGCTGTATCAAATTAGTACCCTTTGTACTTTGTCTGGCTGCTAATTGCTGAAGCTGTGGCAGCTGAGAATATTTTCAATGCATGCATTCTTCTACTCAGCAAATTAATAGTACAGTCCAAGTTCAAATGTGAAGTGGAAAAATAAGACCGTTTCCTCCATCACCAACACTGAACCCTGCTAGAAGCTAAGAAATTTTGAGTGATTTCCGAGACCTGTGCTGGGGCGACAGTCTTGCCTTCTCAGTACTGAAGCTTAGCTCTATGCCTTATCTCCTCGAGATCATCTCTCTCACACAGTATGTGGCTTGACAAACACGCTCTTTAACTTCACCAGCACAGAGGCTGGAATAGCAGCCGCACTCCGATCTGTGGTTTGCAGCTTGCCAAGCGGTCAGTGGTACATACTGGTACAATGGTACACAGATTCAGCATGTACTTGCTGGTCACTGTAAGTCATGCAGCTATCCTCGTAATACAGCCATGGGCTTCCAACTCAAGCAAGCCTCTTTCAGAAGAAAGATGAACTGTATTCTGTTTGCTTTCTGCAAGGCAGTAGTGGACATCGACAAGATTTATCATCAACAAGATTTATCAGTTCCTTAGCCTAGGGACAGTAGTTTGGAAAAGTGCCCTAGTAAATAAAAGGTATATATTAAAAACAACCACCCTGACATTCTCAGGAAAAGTCACAGCTCAGGTCCAAAAAGACAAATACCTCAAAATGGCATGAGGGCACCTGCAATAAGCAGAGCTTTCATGTTTCTTAAGCAGAAGCCTTCTCAACACAGAGACGTGGTCTGGACACCAACAAAACAATTATTCTCTCTCCTGTGAGTAACTGCACAGTGACAAAGCCCTGCAGGCTTTGCTTCCAGTAACAGAATCTACGCTGCTGGTGCCCCTACAGCCTGTGGAAGCCATGAGAGAGCATTAAATTCAGACAGGGATCTTTACCTCCTGTCACCTGGTTCCATCAGGCTCAGCCACCTCAAATAGCAGATGGCACACGAAGAGCGTGCGACGATAGAAGACAGTGAATATATATAATGCTCTATTTGCATTTGCTTCTCAATTTGTACCCTGGAGACTGTGTGTGTAGCCTTAAGCAACAGAGTTCCTATGCAGCACCTCAGCAGCAAGATCACAGCCACAGGGGTTCCCAGCTGGGCAGCCACAGGTCCAGTGCAATGCTGCTGGGGCACTGCAGCAGCAAGGGTCCTCCAATGGCAGCCTCTGGCACACAGCTGGGCAGCAGGCACATTCTGCCCAGCCCTTGCTGTGTCCCAGAGGTAGGTGGTCTCCCACAACCCCAAAGGAACTCCTAATTCTTTTCCATGTTTTTGGTCTGCAGCCAGGGCAGGACACAGCTGCACAGCACCATGCTAGTCCCAGCAGAGCTGCACCTATTTTGTGTTGGGCATGTTTCTGTAAAGTATCTCTTGAACTGCAGGAGGAAGCAACAGAATAACCCCATTCTACCAACTCCAGTGGATGCTCTTCCGGAAGAGGAGAACTGCTAAGTGAAGGAGGTCAAGTCTCTGCTTCCAAACTCAAAGATGTACTCGGAACAGGAACAGCTAGATACATGGAGGGCCACGGCGGTGACTAACTGTTACCACCAATTCTATCTTGTAGGCTGAACTTCTCACCCCATTTAGCAGAATTCAGAAAGACAGATGAGGAGGAGGAAGAGAAAGGAAAGGTAGACGAGGAGGCAGGATGAAGTTGCATCTTCATCACAGGAGCAAGACCCAGTACCTTCTGGCTACTGGCAGACACGGGAAGCCTGTGATGAAAGCTCTCCGAGAAGCCATTAACATTTGCACTTCCTCTAGGTGTTAAATTTTGTACTGGCTGGGCAGCTAACAACTGATTTAACTACTTATAAAACATAAGCCAGAAAACCATTTCATATAACGTGGAGGAAAGCACCGCTAAAGGGAAAGAGGCAGGCTCTTATCAAACCAGGGTGATGATATACTAGCACAAGGTGACTGAATCATTAATCTTGCATTAAGAATATTTTTTATGATGGAAAACCCAAGGGTGAGAGCACAAGCATTTGGAGCAAGCAGACGGCTCAGCCTAAAGAGCTGGAAAATATGTGCTCCTCAGCAGGGAGCTGTAATATATTTCCCCTTTTCTGTGCCAGATTTGGAGCGCTCCACCAATATAGAATTAAATGGACCTGGACAAAGCAGCTTCCTGAGGAGCATAATTAGCTGGTGGCTTGGAGTGCTCTCTAATTCAATTAGCAGCACCATTTATCAGAGCCAGCTGAGATTTACATTTGCACTTGCTGACGTCAATGTGAGACTCGCAGCGAGTCCCAGAAGCCTCTAGTTCAGCAGGAGCAAATTGAACTGCTAGGGTCATTTATTTTCAAAGAACAAGAGCTGGAGGGTGGGTTTTTTTTTTTTTTTTTTTCTGTCCCCTCCTCTTCCTTTTTTCCCCTCTAATATTCCTTGCTCTACAGACTTTTTTTTTTTTTAAGAGCAGGAGGAGAGAGAAAGCTGCACTTTCACAGGGCTTTTGCACTTACTTCATAGGTAGCAGAGGGCACTTTAAAATGACAGGATGGAAGCAGGTGTGGGATTTCAGGCATGCGTCATTCTGCTGAGCTGGGAGGGGAGGCAGCACGTGCTCAGAAATGCAAACAGCCTGGACTGTTATATAGGAAGGTCGTGACACGTCTTCCCTCACTGTACTCACAGACCTATATGTCTGGCTCTGCAAAGAACTCTCCCCACACATTCACTAGCTCTGAGAATCTTTTGACCTTTCCGGTTTCTAGCACCTACCATGCTGCTCCATCTACAACTGTGGGTTACTGCTGCTACCTCTCTCCTAGCTAAGACTTTCCCCTCACGCCTCTGCCTCAGTGATCTCCCTAGCTGAGCACGTGCCCTTTCTGTCCTTCACCAGCACCTTGCACTTCAGCCACCCTACTGGCAAACAGCTGAAGACCTGCAGCGGGGAGAGCAGCACTGTGCTCTGAACTGGAGATACTCACAGCAGGCATGTAAATCAGACATGCTGCTATGACAACCTGGCCTCTTCCACCGGGGAAGGCACCGCACCTCCCTTCTGCTCCAGCTGTGCGGCGTTGATAAGAAACAGCCCAGAGAATTTCCATGTAGCACAAGAACAGGAGAGAAGGAAGGAGGCTGCTAAGGCAGGCCAGGAAGGCCAAGGACCTGACTGCCTCACCTCCTCTCGAGACGTGCTCTGCAAACCTCTCCCATTGCACTCTCCCCCAATGCAAGTGCATCCTTTATTAAAGAGGACACTGCAGCCAGGAAAGTCCCCGTCCTCCCTGCACCACTCCTAGATAATCTCTTTCTTTGGTTTAAGCACTCAGTGGCTGCTTAGCCTACGAGGACTTTGCCTTCTTCCCCAGCTTTCTGCTCTTCCAGCTTGTCATTACCACAGTCACTGTATTCCAGGGGTTCAGAATCTCTCTGCAACACCCACCTGCTCTCCCAACAGGCTGCCTACTATTACACGGTAAAATGTTAGCTTTGCTGCAAAAAGCTGGATCATCACTTCTAGCAGTAGGAGCTACACACTCTCTTTCTTCACAAAGCCAGGCACAAAACACCAGACATCTACATCCCCACACCGAGCGTGTTACCTGGAATTTGGATCCAAGCCTTCAGAGATGCTTATCCACAAGGAAACACAGCTCAGGGATCTAGCTGGAGTTTAGGCCATCTAAATGCAACATGCAGTATCACGCATCAAATCCAGATGACTGCACAGGATTTCAGTGCCAAGCTTGGGAACAAGTTACTGTCCCCAGGTCAACAGAAGTACCTTGACAGCATTTTCCCTAGAAGTACAGGACTGGCCGCAACGCAAAGGCATCTCTGCCTCTGCGGTTCAGGAAGCAGAACTCCTGAGCAGCCAGCCCAACGTCTCTGCTGGCCAAGACACAGAGGCTTGGCAATAAACAGAGGAGTTCCTGAATCCCATCCATTTCCCCCATGCGAGGGGGAGAGGCAAATGAATTTCACAGAGCAAGTCACAAAGGAAACAGCATTCAAGTATCTAAAGTAACGAGAGTGTGACAAGGACTCAGCCAAGTACTGAGCTCTGTCTTTGGCTCCAGCTTTAAATCCTTACACTGCTACCATGCAGCCCTGCAGAGTGGAGCAGGGTCAGGATTAAGGGGGAACATCTGACAGGAAACATCCCCAGGCAAGTTAGAACGGAACAAAGGGAACCCCTGTCAGTCACTGCACAGTAGAGGATTCACAACTCTCGTGCCCCTCCTGTGGCGAGGCCTACAGTTGCAGGCATAGCTCTGGCAGCAAAAGGAGCAGACGCGCTGCTTTCGTGCTCCCTCAGGCAGTCCTTTGCAAAACTGTTGCCCAGATGTTCCTATTGCCTCATTAAGTAGGCTCACTGGCCATTTCCTTCTCACTTCCTGGAGTTCAGCCTCTAACATAACAGCAAGTCTCTAGGCAAACACAGCTCATAAGAAAATCTTGCGAAGGAAACCTGTGCCGGCAATCTGGCCATAATGGAAGCAGTCTCTGAGAAAAGCATGTGTTCATTCCTTCTGACTACTTTTTCCCTCCTCTAACTACTTTCAGCAATCCTCCTTTCGGTGCAACACACACCTACTGCTAGGTCTAACACAAAAAACAGGCCTTGGCATCCGTGTTACTGTTTTCCGGAGACTTTTCCGGACAGCCTCAACGTCCTGGCACGACAGCTAAGTGACCAGAGCTTTCAAGAAACAAATAACCATCTCTCTGCAGCTTGAGAAATCACTGTCCTTGCAAGGATGTGTTAATATCACTCCCATTTTGATAATCCCAATTCCACTGTGTCTTAGTCTGGAGGAAGACAATTTCACTCTAATTTACACTTCTCAAAAGTTTGCAAGCTTTACAATAAGCAAGTTGTTCACCGAGTAACAGAACTAGCGAAGCCTGGACTGACAGTGGTCTCTTACATAGGTTCTCCGATGCCTCATAACAGAAGGAGCTTAAGAGTCAAGAGACAGCAAGGTATCTCCCCAGTCGATCTGCCAGTTTTCATAAAACTTGTAAGAGTCTGCTCTCTTTGAGACTGACTTACATCTGTCTATTGAAATGAGAGAAACAAGACAGGAGATTCAAAAGTCTGTTGGGAGGACATGACAGTGGTTTTTTTTTTTTTTTTTTTTTTGAACAAGAAAAATATATTTCAGCAAGTGCAGAGAGATGATTTCTTTTAAATATAATCCTGTCTCCCCACTCTTCTCAGCTAGTTCACGCTTTAAAGCGACCTAGATAACAAACATTATAAGTATAAGCATGACTGAGGTTGTTCTGTAGCCAGGATTTACTTGAAGCATCTTTAGAAGCTGGCCCTTGACCAGAGGCCTCTGCTGCCAGTATACAGCCACTTTTGTAAGGGGACCATCAAGTGTAATTAGTTCACTGACATGTCTGCCCTTCCTCCCCGCTTTCAAGTATGTAAAACATACCTGGAAGCATCTAGGAATGGCTTGTAGGCAACGGTGATCCACTCTTCCTTGTTGGAGGAATACCTTGGCTCCCTTGGGGCCTCAGCTGCTGTATCCAAGTCCACCAGATAATGGCATTTGGAAATGTCAATCTGCAGAAAGGAAGAGGTTCTTTGGGTTTATTTCTTATAGATTTGCAGTTCTGTATGTTAACAGACACCGCCTGTGGTTAATGCATCCACAAAAAGGAGTTTACATTTCAAGCAACAGGTGAAAGGCTTTGTTGACAAAACTTGGCAAAACATTTTGATGTTTTTAAGTGAAAATTTTATGGGGAATGTAAACAGTCACCGCTCTTCTGAACAATGGCTAGGAGTCCTAGGGTCCCTTTCTGAGCAAGTACCAGTACCAGCTTTTTACCGAGGACCTGTCAAGTCACAGAGGGGAATCGCAGTGGACAGAATCAATTCTTCTGGAGCCTTTCCTTGTGGATGACTAACCAGCTCTTCAAGGCTTCTAGAGATGCTGACTCCATAGCTCCCCACAGCAAAGACTTCACTATCACTTGTGTTAGAAAGGTCTTCTGACGCCTGAACTGGCACAGATGTGCTGAACTCTAGCAGGGCTGCAGCAGTGCTGGCCCTCACGGCCTTGCCTGCAGCAGATGAACATCACATTGCACTCCTCAGACCATGTGGATTTGGTATCAGCACGGTCATGCCTTTATCAGCTGCCTATGACGCAAGTAACCGCTCTGCCCAAACAGCAATGTTTGACAACACTCTGCCAAAATATGAAAATGTATTCAAGGAAATAACATCACAGAAATGAAGTGTGTGTGTGTGTGTGTGTGTGTGTGACCTCCCAGATAAATGAACTGCAGGCAGCACTCCCAAGAGACTTGCTTTATGCAAGCTTCTACTTCCTGCTGAGGAGAGAGCTCTTGAATATGAGCAGACCACGCTAGTCATTTATAAGCTGCTGTGTCCTTGCTGGCTAACAGCCCCCTCCCCTGTCCTTGCAGGTTCTCACAGATGCACACACAAGCTGGTGCAGACAAAAAGCTTTGCCAAGACATATGTGAATTGTCAGATGCAAAGAAGCCTGGAGCTCCTATCAGGATACATTTCCTTTTAATAATAACCATTAGTTATGAGATAAGGCCCATCCAAGGGAGTTCAGTAAAAGGAAATATTGTGCAGAAACTTGTGCATACAGGAAAAGAGGACTAGAGGAGAGGACAAGTTAGGAATAAAGACTGTCCTCCAGTTGAAAATCTGGTCATCTCTAAGTGACATAAAAACATAAGTCTCTTACTGGTGCCTGGGTGAACGTTGGCCCAAGGACACAGAGCATGACAAGAGCTTGTCTGGCCCAATGACACAGAGCATGACAATACAAGCTTGTCTGGTCTACCACAAAAGGAGTTAAAATATGGTGATTGCTATGGTTCGAAACAGAAATGAAGGGAATGGAAAAAGAAGGGAAAAAAAAAAAACCCTCTGAAGTCAGGAGTTTCTAACACTGTTTCTGCTTTCAGGCCTAAACTACTGTTCCTGCTTGGATTTCTCTTAGTTTAGTAGTTTTCAACAGAAATACATTTCCTTGGTGGTACAAGTATGTTTGTGTTGTTGTTCAGCACGATTAAGAAGGAGTTGCAAAACAAAAAGGTTAAGTTACCCTTTTCCTCAGCACCCCATAGCAACATAAACACTGACATTTACTCCTCAACTTTCAAGCAATCCCGTAATAGATATGTACCGAGAAACTGAGAAACCAGTCTCATTTCAGCCATTAACAGGTTTGGAGCTGTCTATGGCTCAGATAAACCTTCTAAAACATTTGTTTTCCTCTTTAATGACCAACAGAGTCATGTTGTTTAGATTTATTTGCTATATGGTCCTCTTTTGTGGGTTTTGTTTTTTTGTTTTTTCTTAAACTTGCTTTCTTTGTTTGGGGTTTTTGGTTTTCTTTTGAATCTGGGTGTGCTTCCACTCCTTGAACTCACTGAATTCTAGAGAAGCTCCTGTTTTCAAGGCATCATCATCAGTTCATAACATAATCCTTGTTTTAAAATCCCCTTTAAAATTTACGTAGAGTAGCCAGTTTCTGTCTGTACTAAATAAACATGTCTCAGGCCCTCTTTCTTGCATCAGAAATAACAAAATTGTACGGTGACATTAAGAAAGAACCATGAAACAAAAGAGTGTTTGGTTCCATTAGTCACAGGCTGTGCACCAGCCAGCTGTCTTTGCTAAAAATATGCCACATTTAAAAGATTTTGTAGATTAAACGCATTGCAGCAGACAGCTTCTCTCAGGTGGGTACACGCCTCCCTCCCATTTCCAATAACTATAGAATGATGCTCAAAATAAGAGAGCTTTAACCCAGCCAGGGTATCTCTGCTTTTACTCATAGAGGTCCCACCTGTTAGTATGCACTTCTTAGAGCAGATCACAGCTACTTTATATACCATGTAAAGGACCGTAAGTCACAGAAATGAGCACATGTCCACTGTCCTCAGGCAAGCTACATCCACTCACGCAAACCAGAAAGCTGGTCCAATACATGTGAGTGCTTCCTAAATACTGATGAACGTACCAAAGTTATCCTCCAAGGTGTTGAGAGAGAATGAAAAAAGGATTGCGCATTTCTTGGCAGTTCCTCTCATTCACCCCTCTAAGACAGAAAAGGAAGGATGACTAAATATCTGATATTTAGTGCACCACTAAAATTTTAACTGCTAAGTAATTTCACTAGTCAGCTGACAATACTTTAAAAAAAAATTGTATGAGTGCTATTTTTGGTTAGGTAACACAAGACAACCAAGAATAGTAACAAATGAACAATACTGGTATACACTATCTTTAACAGCTTTCCATTGATATCACTACTGTAATTGCTTCGATAAAAAGTTCCGAATTGACTCCCTCTCTTCTTCTGCAAATACGAATAACTTCAAATATAAAAGAAAGTACACAGGAAAATTTCAATCCCTCCTCAGTGATAACCATTTTCTGTGGGAGATTTCAAACTACTTATATGCATCACTTCCCTGTGTGCACAGTAATACATTATACTAAACTCAAAACTGCACAACTAGGAATCATTACTCTTTTTTTTTTTTTTTTGCTTGCTTGCTTTCTTTTAACCTCTTTAAGTGAAAAACAGGGAGATGAAATGCAAACATAAGACAGGCTCATATAAATGGGGAAATTTCCAAGTGCTACAAAAAATGACTTTTGTTCTGTAGTTGTAAAGTCCCCAAACAAAAGACTGGGAGATCTGATCCGTGATTCTAGGCACTATAGCAATATGCACAATGCAGTAAGGAAAGAAAACAGGAATGTTATCCTTACATAGCGAGATGGCTCTTCCCTGTTTTGGTCGTTCATGTCGGTGGGAATGACCCGCGTTGCCATTGGTCCCTTGGCAAATTGCTTCGGTAACTGGCCCCTGAATTCTGACAGGATGAACTGGAGCTGCCAACTACAGAGAAGAACGTTAGAAAGCAGCACAGGAAACTGCATGGAGCTGGTAGAATATTGCACGGAGAAAGCTTAAAAAAAATAATAATATATATATAACCCAAGGCACTTCACTCTTGACAGTGGAGATCCATGCCAGAGGAGCAAATTTTCAGTAGTTCTTGGACAACATAATCTGTTGACACCAGACCTCTGAATCCTGTGTTTCAGATACACTGGTGTTAACAGAGATGCAACATCCAGTAGGTTTCTCACATGAATATTTATGGAAAGCATCCAGCTTACAGAGCTCATCAAATCAAGCCTTACTTATCCGGCAAGAGAAAGCTGCTTGGAAATCTGTACCACTCCTTTCCCACGCAGACATTAACTGGTCTCCCCTCTGGCACAGTGTGAATAGTTGGGTCAGTGGCGATTCTGTGGAATTCTGGGTATAAGTCCAGAGGTCCGTGGTAGCCTATGGAAGATAAAAAGTTGTAAACAAGCCTAAAATAGATAATATTTGTGCAACCTATCTTGAAAGACTAGAAATAAATGTTCATACATATTTTCCAGTTGATAACTTATTCAACAAGTTAAATGGTCTATACTAAAAAATGGCTGGACTCGAAACCTTCCCACCTCTGCATTTTAGAGGTGCTGTTAGCAAGCACTTTAACTGATGTTCTCCAGTCCTGACTGTCAACAGGTATTGTCCAGTAAAAAATACTCCTGCATAACTTCGCATAGGTGGGAAGGCTCACTGCACAGCCCTGATGCAAGAAAGCACATAAGTACCATGCTTAATCCATCTCTATGGAGGTCACATGCACCGAATTACAAATTTTACATGGGAAAAGGGCTTTTTCAAGCAAGATCTTATGTTCGAAAATTTAAGTATCTGCATAGACACTGATCTCGGTACAGATTTTGACCAAGTATAGTCTTCCTGGCTGAAACTGGAGAGCACCAGTGCTTTAACTGATAATAATTATAGTAATATGCATCATACATCTAATCACTATTTAAGGATGACCACCACGTTGGTACAGTCAAAGCAGCACAAGACCAATACCCCAAAAAGCACAAGACAATACCAACCTCTGAATAAGGCAACAGAGCGAGACAATGACAAGAGGCCAAAGAGAAAGACAGTCCCCAGAGCCAACCAGTTGGAGGAGACCGTGTAGTGTTCCAAGCGGTAACGCTGGAATATGAAGTGGTAACACTTCTGAGGAGAGGACAAAGAAAAAAGAAGTTACTCAAACTCCGATATGGTTGAAAAACTAATATGACAAACTGCATCAGATGCTTGGCTTGGTCCCTCTCTCCTGCTCTGCCCTTGTGTAGGAGGGATTATCCACTTCCCATCTTGTCAGCACACAACAAAATGCATTTCCTACACATATTCTTGCTCTTTATAGCTGGCCCAACAGTCCAAGGATGCCTGGCACTGTGGCAAGTTATTTACCCCTGTGACAGCTCTGGGATGTTCATTTGCATTGGCACTGTAACATCACAACTACCAGCCAAAATTCCCACTTGTAGGTGGGAGAAGAAGTGAAAGTCATTAGCGGCAACGAAATACTCTCAGCCATTTATAATTTGATGCAATCTCAGACAAGTTCCTAAGGAGATCATGTTACAAAGCCATGACATTTGATCTTTTCTGCTAGGCTATTCAGAAGTTTCGCACCAAAGTTCAAGATTATTAGATCAGTTCTTTCTGCAGGCCACTCAGGTAGGGAAATTCCAAATACTTTTGCATCACAGCATAGCACAAGCTAATAGTTCTCCAGACACTTTCATTGGTCCATCGATATACAGATATATCTATATATATAGTACATATACAGAAGGACCATCTTTTTCCTCAGAAAGGCAGCAACATACACACTCTTTAGTGTTCTAACTGCTGTGTTTTGCTTCCAGAGACTTAACACCTGCCCATGTAAAACAGTTTGAATATAAAAGTGCACGAGCTAGCAGATTAGAAGTAAATGATGATAAGTTACCCGCAGGACACAGAGCTATGTAAACGCTTCAGCCCGTGCAACAGCCACAGACATTGTGCAGACATTCCCAAGCTTTGGAACACAATGTTACACAAGCCACTTTTTCTCCCTAAAGGTGTGAGGCTCCTTGAAAATCACACATCCTACCGGAACTTACCTGAAGAGCAGAGAGCGCCACAGCACCACAAAGGCAGATGAGAGGATAGATGGGAAAGAGAAATCTCTCCTCTTTGTGGGGCTGACTGAAGAAAACCACGATCCAAATGTACATGGGAGCTAGTGTCAGCCAGTAAGGACGGCCCAGATTCTGAACTGAAAGAAAAATATATATATACACACACACATACTCAGCCACGTAGTAAGAGGTTTATCGTATTTTCCCCTCTTGCATCTACCTTTCACTTACAAGTGACTGTTTAGCCACGGATGTTTCCATAGCCTTCGCTACTTCATTACCATTACAAAAATAACAGCATGTGAGAGGTCTCTCAGGTACCTTCTGCCCAACGCAGAAAATAACTGATTCAAAAATAACAATTACCCTGAATTTTAGTCACGCTGAGGGGAGTTGCACAGTGCCTGACAATTCTCATTCCCTTCTCTGCCCCCCTCACTACTGCCAACAGCAGGGTTAAACAATTTAGCCAAAGGCATTTCACAGACAATAAGAACAAAGCACCCAGCAGAATGCCTCCTGCCGTTAAGTACAAAAACACTAAGTGAACAGCAAGAAGTCTTGCATTGGCACAGTCTCCTACTGGGCTTTTACTGCTTTCTGACAGTAAGTCAGTCATTCTCAGGAAACAGATATAAGCAAACACCCATTAGCATATGTTTTTAGCAAGGTTTATGACGTTATTGCTTCTTGCATCCAGTAAATAGCAGAGAACAGATCCACAACTGGGCTGATGAATCTGGAGGCTGCTGCTGCTACCATTTAACATTTGCCATAAACCTTCCTCGAGAAAAATGGCAGAGAAGAACTGTTGCTGAATGCTCATTTCTCACAGTCACCTTCCACTCACCATGAAATTTCTGGAGCAGCCACTCCATGAGACAAGTCAATGGCAGGACAAGTAGAGCCAAAATAAATGCCACATTGAAATTCAAAAAGCCGTTGATGAAATAGAAGGACCATGGTTCAGTACCTAAAGCACAGGAAACAAATCAGAGGAAGAAAGCATCAGAAACTGTTTAACAGGGACAATGGAACTGGCCAGTAGCCTTACACAGCACCACATCTTAAATTAGGTCTACCCTAGAAACTTTTCTCCCAAGTGATTTATCCCCTTTTTCAGTGGGTCATAATGGGTGTTAAACCTGTTGCTTGTGATTCACAGGTTACTAGCATAAGTCTTGGCCAACAGAAAGCTGTAACACAAAACTCATCTTGGCCTTATGGAAGCCTACGCAGCAACAAAGCAGATGCTGAAATGGATAAAGTCAGGAAATTTTATCCATAAGTCATTCTTGCTAACCTAGAAGAACGCCACGTAAAGAGGTCACTATTACCCTGGAGCACTGATGTTATACTCCATGCTGTCAGAACGAGAAAATGTACTAAAACCAAACAACAACAAGAGTTCCTGCTCATACTTCAACTAAGACACTGCCACTGAAGTGCATCCAGATGCCAGTTTTGATACCTTCCCAGAACGGACACTACTTAAAAATTCCCTGCTGCATTTTTTTCCTGCTGTGTTACTTTAAACAGCAGCAATTACACTCCACTGCCTAGCACACACAGACAGGTGTTGGTTGCAAGTTGGAAGGATGCAAATTGACAGCAATTCTAGTCTAACTGTCATTCATTTGGACTCTCATCTCAAGACGATTAAAACCCTGAACAATGAGCTATGCCAGTTCCTCTCTGCACATTTGCCACTTTCTCAGTGTGATTAGTTCAATCAGTCGATAAATGACACGCGGGGGCTTTAATCGTTGCGCTGTTGTGACATATGTCACATGCCACAGCAATTTCCTGCAATCAGAGCCACTTAAAAAGGGTCCATGTTGAAATTAATCAGACAACTGAAAAGCAGCAGGGAAAACCCAACACCTCTGCAGCCCCTACAACTAAATATAATTACGAGTGGAACTAGTAATGTCAGAAACATGCAACTGGAGTTCCCAAGACGCAGTGCAAGCAACCAAAAGTCTTTTAGGAAATCTTTATCTATCAGCACTGAAAAGGAACAAGAGTTGCAGGGTCCTGAACTGTGTAGCTCTTTGCTTACTCTCAGAATGAAAGCGAATACAATCACTTTCTCACACATGATGCCAGAAGCAGATAAAGGTCTTCGTAAACTGACAGAAATTGGCAGTTAGTTATACAAATTCATTAGTCACAGGGCTTAACGAGTCATCATGCTGCAGCTCGACCACAGCGAGGGTGAGAGCAACTCGGGACAAAACACAGATGCTGTAAAACAGGCTCAAGCTAAGGTGCCCTGTCTAATACTTCTTACAAGTTAAAAGCCTGCATACACACCAAAGCTGCAGCTCCGTTGTTAAGCAGTAATTAAGCCACAATAATCTGATCACGAGTCACAGTCCTCACTCTAAACAAGCTGGATGCAGGCCTAGTATAATCAACAGCCTGCTTTCTGCACTTGATTTATTTTCTCTTTGCTTCAAGACCAAGATTCAACAGAGCAAGGTGTCATATCAAAAGCTCCAATTGCAGTACTTTCAGTTAAGGCCAAGCACGAGCTCAACAAAGCTTCATGAAATGCCACAGCATTGCAAATCACGGGCAAATCTCTCATTACAGGAAGTAGGACAAAAGCTGTGCCACCAATTGCATGTTCTTGGCATGTACACACAGAGAAACACCACAAAACCACAGAATCAGGCTTAGGGATGTCCGCTTAGAAGCTACTTTCTCTTGACTATAGAAACCTAATAGCCACAAGGGGAAATATTCTTTGCACAGATGGTGTTTATCCAGGAGGAGTATACTGCTAAAAGAGATATTAAAAAAAAAAAAAAAAAAAAACCCACAACTCCAGCCTTGCCTCTAGGATTGCAGCCTGAGGCAAAGAAAAGATACTGTGGTGATTACAGTGAAGATACAGGTTGATGACTGCAACCTTCAGCAACTTCAGTTCCCATCATATCAAAGTCAGGAAATCCCTGTTCCAAAGCCAAAAGGAATTTACCAGCTTTTCATCTCCCCAGTAGTGTTACTTCTCCATATTCATAAGTGCTTCAAACCTCTCCAAACACACAGTGTTGTCCTGACCACACTGCATTAAAGAACAGTTTCAGGCAGGCTCTTTTACTAGCCCAGGGACGTTATACAAATGTCACTATGCATAAAACACTTCAGAATACATTGGTCCCTGGAGGGTGCTGGAAACAATTTATGCATCAGTGTGCAAAAAAGGTCATGGAAGAGCCCATGTCAAACCCCATGAGTGACAAAGCCCGGAGTTTCCATTACAGTGATTCACAGCAAGAGGCTTCAGTGCCTTCCTGCAGAGATGAACCGCCACAGCATGGCAGCCATTGCTGCTGTGCCACAGCACACCGAACATATCACCACTCAGCACCACCCGAAACAGGCTGCAAGGGAGTTTCCAAATACAGTCTGCAGAACACTGCTGCTGAAAGCCTCCCTCACTGATCGCTGCTGAATCCCTCCCAGAAAACCTTGCTAGAGCTGAAACAGACTGCAAAGATGCTGGATAGCCTGTGCCCTAAGACAATCTCAAGTCTCCTCCAGCAAAAATCCCTCTCGAGCTCTACTAGATACACAATGAACTCTTCCTCTTTGACTCTAGCACTACAGGATTGAGCAACTTAGTGAAATGGTAGCTCCTGAACAAAGACTGCAGTTTCACCAGCAGGATTCAGACCTGAGATGTGGGTCACCTAGTATACGGGAAGGCTAGCACCAGGAAACTGCGTGATAGACAGATGATTTGCTTGCAGATTAGGTATCATCCTGGTCTCCAACATTAAGGGATTATCCTAAACCCCTAAAGTATAAGGTTTAACATCCGTTCTGAATTTGACATGACTATTGACAATGACAACTCCGACTGCCCTTGCTACCTTAAATATTTCTAACTCGTTTTTAAATTCCGTTGAGGCTATCAGCTTAGTTATTTCCCATGGCACTTATTCCTGTGTCTGACTATATGCCTGAAATGATGTTGTATGCATCAATTTGGAATTTTTGCTAACAAAAAGACCATATGGAACGAAACATTAATCCCATCTTTGCTACTGACTCACTTTGCAAGCTTAGGCAAGTCACTTCTTTCGCTCTGTGTTCAGCTCCGGAAAAAAGAGATAACTTTTATACTGCTTAAGCCAAAAAGAAGGAAAACATGCTTAATTACTACGAAGGGCTTATACAGCAAGGTGGAAACAGGAACCTAAATATTGCTTTTTCTGGACTCTGACGCTTGTCATTATCAGCAGGGTTTTTTTTGTTCTGTTTTGTTTTTCCCTCCATTCTGTTGGACGACAGAAACAAGGAGATCAAATGTAGCCTATGCAAGTCAAACTTGACTTGGACCTATTAAGATCGCCAGAGAAGCATGTGGAATGAGTTAATCTTTCTTCCTTCTCTAGAATTTGTACAATGCCTTTATGATATCCTTGGATGCTACTTGCCAGCAAAGCCCAGGCCACATACTGTCAAATAATCAAGACCATTCCTAAAGCACAGTGTGGAACTAGGGAGTGTGGAACTAGGGAGTCTGCAGAGACTTATGTGACTCAAAATAACGACGGGTCCTGCACTGCTACATGCTTTGCCAAAGCTCTGCACCCTCACCTAGGAGTACAAGAACAGCCAAGAACAGGATTAAAGCCGACACATACATACATGCACATCCGCATGCAGATGTGTCTCTTTCCTCTTGGCAGTTGATCCAAGTATATAACTAGTATTTTTTAAATATACGGCGAGTCACTCAGTTCTTTATTGTGAATAACCACTCTGAAACATCCTGAAAGCACCATGTAAACGTGACAACACACGGTGGCAAACCCGAACTGCATTAAACAATTTCATTTGTGCCTGTGGCATTCATGTTGCTACCAGTCAGCTCTCTGTTGTGATGCTGGGTTGTTGAGGCATCTCATGACGATTTACAGAACTTCAAAACTAAAAGCAGCTTAACTAAAGGTGCTTGAAACCCAGTGGACAATATAACAGTGTTCCATGGATTCTCACCTCGAGAGAGCCACCCCGTGGCAAAAAGTTAAAACTGACACTTTCGGGAGGTGGCAAGCCGTTCTTTTGCGTATGTGCAAAAAAGGATGAGCAAACAGTAGCTGGTAGGTCACTGCCTACCTGGTATTGCCCCTGACAACAGCAAGAAAACCACCGTTTGCATTCCTGCTGTGTTATCTTAAACTCACCATAGAGATCAGGTCCGTGAGAGGTGAAGACATTGTATAAGACAATGTTGAGAGGTGCAACTACCAACTTCCCATAATAATAGCTGTCCACAATTACCAAGGGCACCTGCAAGAAACATTCTATAATGTATGGAGTGTCACAAGCTCTCAGCTGTACAGCCCAAAAGCTTTATGTGATTTTGTTTATAGACTCCCTCTTCCACTCGTTGCAAGCCAAATCTATCTTTCTTGCTATATTATAGAGACTTACCAGAAACATGATCAACGATACCACACACCAGTTTAGGAAGCTTTTCCACCTCTGCTTCATGATTAGCAAGTCAAAGGCAATAGGAAGTCTGAAAGAGAGAGCAGGTATGAAATGGAGACTGTATCTTGCCCCACCACCAGATTTTCTATCTCTTTGAAAGAAGGGAGGCAGTAACTTGGGGCGAATCGTCACTGCACTGGGGTCTACTACACCCAGTTTCACTTATTTCAGCTCAGGAAATCCTCCCAAACCTAAGTAGCCCAAAAGCAAAGAAATAAGGCTGTGGTTCCTCCAACCCTGTAGCACCTACGTTCCCACCAGCCAAAAAACAAATATTTGAGAAAGTATGAAACTCCTGAACATTCCTCTCTTACCCAAGGGCCGCACTGAAGGGCCAGGCCACAAGGGCTCCTGCGGCCACCCCCAACACAGCTACAGAGGTCTTATCCATATACCAGCCAGTCATAGCAATCATGGTGGTGTACATGCAGAAACTACTTGGGAGGAAAGCTGCAACACAAAGAAAGAAAGAAAGAAAGGAGTTAACACACCTTCTCCACAGTCAGAGAACTGCGTGAGGTCAAGGTGAGGCTGAAACCTCTCACACCATATCCACTGAAGTTGGGATGTTTCACTGGGAGCTCTTAAAACACTTAAGCTCTGGAAACTCATAGCTAAGTTTATAAGACTTTCAGCAGTTTACTTAGCAGAAAGGCACACACAGATAGAAGAGACAGGACACAAAGGCAGATGACAACGGAGAAAAAAAAAGGGCTTTCCCTCTTTTAGATTAAACAGTGTTTAAAGGCAGCTGGTCAATAACCTGTTTGAAAGGCTTGGCTCCACTGCATCCAGACAAGAAGCTGCAGTAAAAATTAATACGCCTGGAAGAGGAAAGATTTTTTAAAAAAAGGGATGCAGGAAACATTATCTGAATCAACAGTTATTCTGTCTCCACACCTGCCACAAGAAATACCTGCAATGCAGTACACCAAGATATCTCGTACAGCGTACTGGCTGCTAGAGAGAGATTGTGCTGTGGATTTTCTTCTCTCTGGATCTGTGTTTAGTTCTTCTGGACAAAGTCATTATTACTTAGGTTCACTGCTGAAGAGACTTACCTGCAGACGAGCAGAACATCCCAGTGCTGAGGACTAAAAACGCCAACATCAGCCGACTCACATGTAGTCCAAATTTCTTGCACACAGCCCTAAGGAAGTAAGGGAGAATTAGAGACCACAGAAATACCCTCAATACAGAAAAGCACAGTACCCAAAGTATGTAGAGTCCCAAGCAGTTCCTGGAGCATCCCCAAGGCTTTAAGCTGGATGACTCCCATTCCTCAGTCCAAAAGGCAAACTGAAATCTAGCAGGGTCACCACTGGCCTGGGTTTCAGATAGTAATGGCAGGCACAAATAAAGAGGCATCCAGCAAAACTACCTATCTAGTTTAAATAAGACAACTGCGTGTTCAGATTACTGCATTTAGTGGATGTACACACCATTGGCAGATACACCACAGAGAGAAACCATAGACGCATCCCACCAAAAATCACTGTGATAAACATACACAGAACCAGTCTCCTTCCAGCAGAGCTCTGTTTACAAGACATCCAACCCTACTTGCTGATATCAGCGAGAAGTGCAGCCAAGGCAAAACACTGCAGTGGAGGCGTGTGCATTTTGTCCTAGCAGTGGAACTCCAAACAATATTAAGTTGTCTTAAAAGACATATATCTTTAAGTTTCATTGGAAAGCAACCCAGTCTAGCAGATATCTTCACATGTGGGCTTTAGAACGTTTTCTGTGGCAAGAATTGACTGTGTTATTCATATTGCTTGAAAACACAGCAGACATCTTCCCATACTCACTTATAGAAGTAGAGTTCACAAACACAGCTCAGGAAGGCCAGGAAGCATCGCAGGAAATAGAAGATAAGAACCTAGAAAAGGTATCCAAGTCAGAACAGAGTTTGCAGTGAAGCTGATACACCTGGTGGTATCAAACAGGACCCAAGAACAAAAGGTTTGGATCAGGTGGAGCAAATTTAGCAGCAGCAACTGAGCCTCTTCTTGTTGACAGAGACTGCTCACCAAGGGATGGCAAAAGCTCCCAGCAGTTCAAGGCCTAGCCCTCTAATCCTGAAGTCCTTTACAGCACATAAACTGAACATGGTGCACTGAACTGACTGGTGCTATCTTCCTATTCTGGAAGACTGTAAAGAAAAGTATTTGCAAAAGCAAATTCAGTCCAGGTATCCAAATAACATGCAACACCACAGATGCCTCGGGATTCTGTTGTAGAAAAACATTCAAAGCATGCATGACAAAAGCTACCCAAAGCGGAATGCATTTTCAGCAATTTTTTTTTTTTAACACTCATAATCACTGACAACAGAGAAAGCAATAGTTTAACCCACACTAAAAGCACATTAGTTTCTTGCAAGAGAAGCCTTCATGTGTCTTATTTACCTTATTAGTTTGTAGAACTCTAGCGTGGAACAAGGCTGGTAAGGCATGAAGCCACAAGTAACCATAGGAGCGGATGGCATAGGCTGGAGAGTATTCCCATGTCTGGAATCCCTTCCCATAAATGAGGTAGTGTGTCTACAGAGATAATTAAAAAGCAAACAAACATGGGTCAAATAAAGTCCGCAGTTTCACATTTCCCAGTATTAAAGTCTTGAGTAAGAAGATTTTTCTTTGTAAAGCACAGATTAGAAACAGGTTTTAGAGAAATCTACCTTTGTTTGAACTGATTACAAACTCTCAGACTGCTCCAAGGAGAAGGTGCTACTTACCGGTTCCCAGTAGTTAAAAGTCTCATCGCAATCTGAGATGTTGCTTAAGAGAGCAGCACAGAACCTGGCTGAGATGAGACACTTGAAAGCTGTAGATCCTTCAGGGGCCCAGACTTGTCCTGTTTTGTTCCCAGATGGCCTAGTACAAAAGACATATATAAACATACACTAGGAAGTCTCAGGAACAGGATTAATAGTAACGAGGTGTTCCTAAGCAAAGAACCAGCCACGAAGAGCCTTTATAGTTCACCGAGTAGCCAAGAAACCAGCCCTTTTCCATCAGAAAATATTGTCTTGGTCAACCCTCTTGAATTGTTCTCTTGCTGCTCTAAGCATGTTTGCACCTCCTCAATTCCCACCATGATGCAAAGCTCATGGAGAGCATGCAGTGAGTACAGATGGCACTTTTATTTGCCACTTTTTCTGCGGGCCTCACAGCCCCATCCTGGCATCATTCCACCACACCATAGAGCAGCAAGGCTCCTGCACCCCACTCCACCCCTGAACGCCAACCCCCTCCTGACCTCATCCATCTACTCTGGACCAGAGACGGCAAGGCAAGCACTGCCTGCTGTGGTGCCATGTGGAGCAAAAGCTGCTTTGGACACGCCAAGGAAACCCTCTTGCACTGAGTCTGCCAAGCTGCAGGATGCCCACTCGCTACGTGGGTCATGCATCATGTACAAAACCCCAGCCCTCAGTAAAAACCGTCCAAAGTAAGAGTCCTTCTGCGCACCTCCCTCCCCGGGAGAGGAGTGCAGTCGCCCCGGCGCGCTGCGGTTGCAGAGCCCCTAGACGGCGGTTTTTGCCCGCGCGCGGCGGTGCCCGACCACCTGGAGACCGTTACTCGCCGCGCGCGGCGGTCGCTGACCCCGCGCAACCGTTGCTGACCCCTGGGAGGCGGTTATCCTCCTCCTCCTGCCCCCCCCCGCCTCCCGCCGCGTGACGCCTGCGCACAGCCCGGGGAGCCAGCACGCGCCCCTCCCTTGCTGCCCGCGCCCCCCGCCATCTACTCCGCGCGGGCCTCTTCGGCGCTCGCCGCCTCCGCCCGCGGCCGGGCCGCTTCGCCGCCGCCCGCCCGCGGCCGCTGCCGGGCCCCCTTGGCCGCCATGCCGAGTCCGGGCAGCCGGGCGCCCGCGCCCTCCCTCGAGACGAGGCCGAAGCCGGCGGCCGCCATGCCGGGTGTGGGCACGGGCGCCGCCGGCTGCGCGGGGCCGGCAGCGCCCCCCGGCGGCCGCAGCGCGCGCCGCTCGGAAGGGTTAGGGGCTAATTACTGCGGGAGGGATCTGAAACCTTTCCATAAGGTGCCAATTAACAGACTGCTTAGCAGCCGGTGGAGCTGTTTACACACATACCTCACAGAAACGAGTACATTCCCTAATACAATCTGTGACTAGGGTTACCTGGAAGTGGCTATTAATTTCTATTGCAGCTATTAGGTAGCACCTCAGAGGAGAGTCTTTAAAATGCTCATATCTATGGGAATCACAGAATTCTCATTACTATTTATTGTCTATATTAGCTATTAACACAACCATTACTATCCAATAACATACCAATGAATTGAGACAGAGCCATATGGGGTCTATCCTACACCGCCCCTCCTTCTGAAAGTGCAGCACTGCGCAGACCTGTCAGACAGCAGGCACTGATATGACCATGCACCTGCTCCAAGAGCGTTTGAGTGCTCAAAGTCCATACAACCCTTTTGAACCAGTTAAAAGGCTCAGTTTCAGCACACTCGATACAGCAGCCATCGCTGAAAGGCGCTGGTTGAACATCAGCAGCACTAGCACAGTGACTTGGCATCAATAAGCGGATGAATTCCAGTTACACCTATTACAGGAATCTCATCAAAGCTTCCACTTAAAAAAAAAAGAAAAGAAAGAAAAAAAAAAAAAAGCATAGGGTCTTTGTTACTTCTAACAGGATTTTTCACATTTAAAATGCATGCAGATGCATCAAACTAGTCCACAGCACCTTTACAAAAGGCCTTGCAACAACACGCAGTGTTGGGTCCAACAAATGCAGTCCCCATTTTGCAGACCAGCAACAGCTGCTGACAGCCGGCAATGCTTTACCGGAGAGTTACACGCAAGCACCGCTGTATCTCCTTCCGAAAAAGTAGCTGCATCTCTGCTGCCTCCTGGCAGCTCAGTGCCTTGTCACAGGACTGGTAGGTCAGTCTGTAGCACAAGCTCTTCCGTGCAGTCTCTGAATGCTGGAAGCTGTCAATTAACTGGATGGATACAACTGTTTCACAGGACACCTGCCTGGCAATGGTGTGAAAAGTCACTTCATCAAACGGTTCCCTCTCAGGAACCCAGAAGCTGACATCATGCACATAAGAAGGTGGATAGAGAGAAAAACTCTTAAAAAGCCTTAACTCTCCCCCAAGAAACTGACTGAGGAAGCGCTCATCCGATGTCCAGAGCATTCGCCAGTCGGCGATTCCACAGACCAGCATAGCTAGGAGGTCCAGATTCAATGATGCAAACACAATCACCAAACCATTGCCCTTTGCACAAGCCGTGCCTACAGTTCCCACACAAAAATCCTTTTCACAGGAGCCTAAAGCATCCGTTTGCACACAAATGGAGTGTTGAATTTTAGTACTCTGACTTTCAGAAGCAGCAAAGTTATCTGGTTCTGTTGCTTCAAGGCCTGTTGCTTCCTGCAGAGCAATGTTCAATTTACAACCAGAAACAGTCTGGTGAAGCAAATATATGCCGCTCCTAATGGTATCTACCAGCACCTGAATAAACCCACTCGCCATACCCTTATCAACTGCACCTACAAACACCACTTCGTGAAAAACAGGCAGAGAATAGGGAGAGACAGGACACTTCCTGAAGACAGGTCCACAAAAAACACCAAGTGTTCCAGGCAGAAAGGTGTCTCTTTCAACTAATGTCTGAATGTAGAGCAGCAGGGAAGGCCTAAGGAAATATTGTTCTGAAATGTCGTTGCCCTCTTGTACCTTCATGCAGCCATTGTTATCTGCATCCTTGCAAAAATCAATGTGGGAAAATAACACTCCATTTGCCAGTCCATTAGCCATTTGTTCCGTGCTTGCATTCTGCTCTGGTTTGAGAACGATCCAAAATACATTTGAGTGACAACCACCACCGACATGACCTTGGTGTAGCAAAGGAATGGAGCAGTCAATGCTTTGTATCGGAAAGGTTTGGCTGAGCACCGCAGTGAGCTTCTCCTTGACTGTTCTTACTGGATGCTCTGAACTGAGTTCTAAGAAGTCCCTGTGGAAAACAACAGGACAAATTATAGACTCCACTTGGTACAGGGCCAAGCTGGTCATGTATGCTGAGAGTGCATGTTACTGTCAAACCCTTATTAATTACAAAGCTTACCTGTTAATTTTATCCACAAGCATTTGTGGTACTTGAAAAGAAACTCTTCTGCTTCCCAGTTGCATGTGGCAAACCACAGGTTGGAGATGTAGAAGTGGAGTACTTCGTGTGAAAATGTGGCTTAAAGCTCCCTCTACACTGAAAGATTTATCTTGACTCCTATCAATATATAAAAACATAACAAAATCATTGATATATTTGTGTTTTTAATGTATCAAAAGTATGTACAGTGACAGCGATAACCTGAAGAGACCTACTGCCCATAACACTAAAAACACTATTCCTAAATGCCAAGTCTTGTTAGGAGATGAGCAAAAGGCTACTCAGTTTTTTTTTACTGTGTGTGTGGTGAAAAGCCAGAAGAACTTACCCAGAAGGGCTGTGGAGTTTCTATCCTTGGAGATGCCCAAAATTCAACAGGTAATGGCTCTAGGCAACCTGCTCTAGCCCATCATGCTTTGAGCTGCAGGGTAGGACTAGATGATCTCCAGATATTCATACCATCAACGAGGCTATGACTCTGTGATTGTCTGCTATGCACAAACACATACCACAGTCCCTCACTTGCCTGTAAGGCGAGATTGACATTTGTTCTAAAAGGGGCCACTAGGACCTTTAAAAACCATTAAATTATCTTTTTTTCTGGAGGATTCTTTCTCAAGAAGCTTAGATTTTAATCTTAGCTATTCTCCGTAGAGCCAAAAGAGACTGGTAGCTATTTTAAGGAATACAAATGCAGTTTCTCTCTCTCCAAGAAACAACAGACTGAAAGAAAATACGATGGTACCTGTCCTTACAAAAGCATTAGTTTCAATATTTGAGTTTGGTCACCTGACAGTTACCTGTAGCCTGTACATTTATATCCATGAATACTCTCCGCGCTGAAGGGACGAACATCGCTCAGGATAAATCTGGCTCCTGCTGCCACCGCCACTATTTGCCAGCTGTTGTGCCACTCTCTCCTTGGCTGATCAGCAGGTGTCCCACCCTGTCCACTGCAAAGTGCCACATGGACCTCACCCTTCTCTGCCAGCACTTCTGCACAACTAGAAGGAAAGCCAAGCAGTAAGTGCACTCAGAATCTGTATAGTGCTAGTGAAACACCAGTAAAGCACCTAGAAGGCCCTTTCATAGCAGTCAATTGGCCAAACAAACAAACAAACAAACAAAAACTCTAATGCTACTCACCTGGAGAAGAACTGAGCAAGCAGTTCCCTGTTCTTCACCACCCCAGCTTTTCTTCCACAGTGCGGGAAGTTGAAATAAACACATGAAAACATTCTGTCGGATGGTAAAAAGTAGTCCTTCAACTTTGTGCAGTCCACAGAGAACAGAACTTCAGCTCCTCAAAAGCATGCAAAGAGAAGCGTAAGAACTTTTAAGTTATGTGAAGTTTTTAAACCAAGGCAATGACTAAACTGCATTCAAAAGGGGGCTAAGTGGGGCTGCTAAAAATGCCAACCTGCAGCACAATTGTGACTTGTGGGCATGCATACTGTGAAGGGAAACCAAAACCAAAGCAAAGCAACTGCTGCCCAGACACCTCCAGGGAAGGAGAGGGCCCCGCGCCGCCGCCTAACCTCTGTCCCGCAGCCGCCGGATGTTTCGGGCGGCCAGTGCCCGGGCGGACACCTCCTCCTCGCCCTCGTAGCAGGTGGCCACGAAGCGGGCGGCGGCGGCGGCGTCGCACAGGGCGGCCGCGAAAGAAAAGTTGCCCTCGCCGATGAGCAGGATGCGGGGAGCCGGCCCCATGGCGGCGCGGCGCGGCGCCGCGGCTGCTGCCGCTTACGGCACAAGATGGCGCCGCGGCGCCGCCCCGAGGAGCCGGGGGCGGCGGCCGTTGGCGGTGGAGCGCGGCCCCTGCGCGGGGGTTCAACGTCCCCGCCGCTCTGAGCGGGGTGAACGACTCCCTAGGTCCCCACTAAGAAAAACAGCGCTGCTTTCCACCTCGGGAAGGAACGGGCAGCCCTTGGGGACCCTCTGTGCACCAGCACATGGCGCACGCGGGGCCGTGGCTCCCCGGCGAGGGCTCGCTGGTGCGCGCCACCGGCCACGGGGAGGTGTGGGATGACTGGAGCCCGACGGCCAAGTTCGCCCAGTTCGGCTGGAGGTGCAGCACCAACGAAAGCAGTTACTCGCACAAAACCCTCATGGGGAACTGGAACGAGGAGCGATTCAGTATCCAGAAAGCTGTGCAGCCCAAGCCCCTTCCTTCCCAGGTGTGTGCTTCTCCTCTGCCCTTAAGAGAGCCATAGCGAGCCCCAGCACCCTCAGTGTCGTGGGCCAGGGCTTTGTTGCTTTATCCCTGGCACGTCTGCGACACAGGGACCAGCAGGGGTAGCAGCCCTTCCAGCTGCCCTGCTCCTTTCTTTCCTACTTAGCTTTAAGAGAGAGGAAACAGTTTGCTCCTTCAGCCTCACCTACAAGAGTTCTGCTGCAGAACTGCAGACCTGAGAAATGGCCTTTCGGTTAATCAGTTTTATTCCTTCCGAAGATGGCCCCAATCCAACTGTCCTTCCTTTGCAGTTCGGGGTTTTGCCCTTTTAAGGTGAGTCAGATTAAGTCACCCAGGCTTTGCCATCCTACCTTAACCAGTCTTTAAAGAGGTAACGTAATTGCAGATGTTTTGGTCTTCCCATAAAGTACAAAATGCTAGGGTTTACTTATATGTAGATTGCATTAAAATAGTGCTAATGTTTACATGTGTTTGGCCACACTAAATAAGGGCTTTTCTTTTCAGTATTCTCACTGCTTTGAAACAACTTACTCTTCAGATTTCGACAAGGGAAAGCATCAAATAACAAGAAGTAGGTGCACAAAAAGTCTGTTTGGTTTGTAGGCGAGCTAATGAGAAGCTTCTAAATGACAGTGTACTTAGAGATGAAATAATTCAGATTTCCATTCTTCTTGTTGAGTCGGCACCATGTAGCACCATGTAACAGGTATTTCAAGTCATTTAGGGAGTGGTGTTTGCATTTCAAATGTTCTCGTCCACCTACCCTCATCACCTTTGTCCCTAAGGAGCTGCCACTCAGAATTCCCATTTCTTGCTACTAAGTTTTTAGGCTAAACACTACTCTGCAGCAAAAATTTCTCCCCATTTCACTTTTTGGATATAATCCTATTACTTTGAAATTCCTCAAGTTTTCGTTTGTTTGTTTTGACTTATTTTGCTTTTCTTTTAGGATTTAAGCAAGAACCTCACTGGTTTCCAGGCCACCAGCCTGAGTTGGAACCCCCTTCTTTCAAGCCAACTGAGCAGTCCTGCTACATGATCGACTACAGACCTCCATATGAGAGCATTTCTTTTGCTAGCGACCAAGGCTTGGAGAAAGAACAAGAGGGTGCGGGAAAAACAACAGCAAACCTACAGACTGCGCCTCCAGAGTGACAAGAGGCCTGTCTGCCAGCTGTGCTACAAGGAGGGCCTTCAGGATGAAAAAACTTTCAGACATTAAAACCAAATGTAGCACCATGTGAAATATATTCTTCTTGCTTCCCAAGATGTACTGTTTGTCACTTGTCTGTTTTTCTGTCGCTTGTTTTGTGTGCAGAGGTGATCAAGGGCATCTATATCGTGCTGTGCCTTGTCAGTGAGGTTCAAATAGGGCTGTGAGCTGGAAGAGCTTATTACAGCCCGCTAATAGAAAACGTTAGAACTTGGCATCTGGGTGGGGTTTGGGGCATTTGATTACGACTCCACATCACTGATTGTTTATTTGTCTCACGGCCTTGGGGGAAGCATGCTCGCTCTTTCAGTTCATTTGAATTTAAACTGATGCCTTTTACAAGGTCTTTTTTTGTCTTAACTTGTATAAAGGATAGAGAAAATAGATTGAACCATAACTGTACGTCACCATCTAGGCATTAGTGGACATATTTGTGGCATTCTGTTCCTTTTAGACAAGAAATAGAGAGATTCAATTCCATTACTACAGATTTTCCTTTATGCTGGTATCTCTTTGAAACCAGAGATGCTAAGCAGCTGGTAACACCTGAGAAGATCTTTTCAGCATTTTGCACCACTCAACAATGTTAGTATAAATCAGATAAATATTTTAAACTTCAGATGCTATTTATTGTTTGAAGGGCACTGGTCACATAGTTTCAAAATGATGTGATTTGCACCATGAGAGCAGGACATTTTTCTCTGCTCTGGGCGTATCTGTTTACAGCAACTATGCAACTGTCATTTGCAAACGGTCTGAATTGGTTGCAGCACTTGGACACTTCCCCATACCATGAGTCATTGTAGAGATTTAAGATACAATTGTCCTCCATTCAGTTGATATCTAAGACCCGCATTTAGAATGGGTTTCAACTGTCATGTAATTGTCTTATCAGTCTAGTCTCCTGCAGAGAGACTTTCCAATTGCTTGTGAAACACATTCAGAAAAACTGAGGGAAAGGGCTCATGCAATTAGACATTTGCAAAACATGGGAGTAATGAAATGAAATGAAACCAGCAAAGTGATTCTGACCACCAGGACAAGCTTTCCTGGACACACCAGTGTTCAGGCTGTAAGCAGGAATGATGCCAGGTATGTTTCACTGCACAGGAAGCTTATGCAGCTCTATTAAGACAACACTTCGCATGTCCTGAGCATTCAGAAACAAAAATACAAAGTGCTTATTCAGGTTTTATTTGTTAGTAAATTTACTCAGCATAAATAAATAAGAGTGGCCATTCACTACAGCTGGCATGTGGCGTGAACTGTTCTTGAAAAGCCCGAGTCTGACTTTAAATAGCAGCCTACTTCCTTTGGGCTCCTGTAATGGCAGGCTTCTCCTCATGGGTGATAGGGATCGTGCGCTCAGGCAGGTCACTTAGTTTCCTTGGTGCACTCACTGTCAAGACGCCATCCAAAGAGAGTGATGAGGTTATGGTCAGGGGATCCACGTCAGCTGGAATCCTGTATTTCCTGCTGAACTCCCTGGCAATAAAGCCATGCTCGTCCTTCAAAAGGAGAAGAAAAGGAACAGCCCCGATTAGATGTGTTCACTCAGTTCCAACCAAACCATGGGCCCTTTGCATACAGCCTGAGTTTGGGAAGCTTGAACCCTCAAAGGAAGATATTTCTGAATGTTTTAAGAGTTTCTTTCATGAGATGTCTTTATAACAATGTGCCAAGACTGGCTGAAGTCAGACATTGCCCTGCCCTGACTGTGGCTGCCTGTGAGCACGGCATTTGCAAGGGGAGGCTTTAGGTTGCTGCTCTTGTGCCAGCCAGACTGCCTTTGTCACCCAGCACTTTGAGGCCATTTATAAGACGCTGGAGCTGGAGCTACATCCAGTACCGCCCACAACTATTCCCAAGGGTCTCTAGAGTTCTTGTAAAACAGAGATTCCCAAAGAGCTAATCTCTGCTAAAATACTTGATTATTTTCTTAACCAGAAAAATTTTCAGGGGCAACATCAGATTTAGGGATTTGTCCCAGCTACATCAGACAATGCTGAATTTCCTGACCGGCAAATCTGTGCTCCCAGATGCTCTTAGTGCTGACAGTTAAACTGGCATAGCTGCTTTGCCACCACCATTTGTTCTTTCTGCTGAGGCAGGAAGGGAGAACTGGAAAACCCTGTTTTGTACAGCTTTGTACAGGGCTTTTGACTTCTCTTTGCCTGGCTGGCACACAGGTCCCTGCGGCCAGTAGGAGGTAGGATGGCCAGCAGCAGAACACACAACCCTTAAATATTGCAAACCCATAAATGGGCCTTTTTCAGGAAGAGATAACCTCCTACTAACAGAACAGGGTAATGGACTATTCATTATGTTGTTTAATTATTACAGTTCATTGTTAACTTATTGAATGGCTGCCTGCATTCCTGGCCTCTTCCCAGCCAGAGGAAGGCTCAGAAATGCACATTTCTATGTTGATTTTCCAGTCCAGTTCACAGTTCATATAACCAGCAATAAATCTCTATCCTGTTGCTGCCCAGTCTGGGATCAGTGAGGAGTATTACACAGAGCATCTTCTGTTGGCATCAGCTGATAAAAAAACATCAGAAGTGGTTGCAGATGAGCTCAGGAAAGGATAGATTTGCAGTCTCCTCATTTTACCACAGGTGAGGAAGTTCAGAACTGACTATAGACCACATAGTAAAAACAGAATTACCTGGCGCTCCTCATGTTTCCCATGGATATCTATCATGTCCCCTAATACCTTCACTTTCAGTTCCTCAGGAGAGAAATGCTTCACATCAAGGTTTACAGTAAACTTGTCTTTCTCCAGTCGCATCTGCAAAATGCAAGGAGATGAAAAGAGCAGAAAAGAGCAAGTGAGAGTTTCAGCTGTAAAAGGTGCTCAGAATATAACAGCTCATGGTACCTCCACATGCCCTCACCCAAAAACCTGAGAAAAAGCAGCGCCATCCAACCTCCTTCATCTAGTGCTGGCGTTCCTTCTTGCCTGTTGCATTAAAGCCCATTGCTAAAGTGTGATGCTTTTCTTTCTTTTGATTACATGGGATAAGTATTTTCCCAGGGTGGCAAAGAGACTCCTCCAACTTGAATTTATTAAAACTGACTCTTTCATTGGCCTACAGGTTTTATATCTGGTTCTTTTTACAGAATGTCTGGAGATTTCAAGTCTCTATAACTAGATTTGCAAGGTCTTTAAGGAAACCTTACTGCAGCTATCTGCAGCTCATCTGTGCCACTTGCAGGCTTTCTTCTCTCTTGTCACTCTTTAGCAGCTGAAGTAACATGTCACTGGCAAACACTGCTGCCTCACTGCCTGTCTCTCTCATCCGAGCAGCTGGATTTTTGACAAAACTCTGAGTCATATGCTGCTAATCTTCCCAAAAGTGCTCCTTCCCAAAAGTGTTCATTTTACACTTTATCACCTCTACTAAATGCTGCTTTTTGATGATTCCTGATGTTGAATTCACCTTTGGTATCCATCGTTTATCTCCCTGGCTTGGACAAACTCCTGGGACCTTGCTATTTTCTGGGACTTTTCCTATGCTGTTCCTTTCTGTGGGACCTGGTGTGAGCCAGATGAAGGCTGGAGGGCCCAGAGCAAGAGCAGCCCTGAGCTTCCCAGGCGCTACCAACCATGGCAGATACTTGCTGGTGAGGTGCTGGGGTCGCAGTCAAGTGCCAGAGCTGACACAGCCAGGGCAGGGCAAACCAGTGTGGAAACCACCAGAAAGCTGTGAGCTGCCCTCCTGCTCAGAAGTGATACGACGTCTAGGGAAAAAGTAGTTTGGAGCCAGAGCTTTCCTGGCTCTTCTCTGCAGAAGGTGCTGGGGCTTGGAGGCCTCCAAAGGAAAGGCATTCTTTGCTAGATTTTCCTCTAGCCTGGCACTTTGGCCAGGATGAATGTCTTCTTCACCTCTGGGATCGCTATGAACATGCAAGCAGGTCCAGGAATAGGAAGCAGCTCTCGCTGTTGGCAGCACAAGGGAGTGAGGGAGACGGATGGGGCTGGAGGGCTGTTTCATGATCAGTTGGGTGCTGGGTGTTTCTCAAAGTGTTGCAAAACAGGCCCCTTTTCCCCTAGCCACCCTGCCTGACACAAGGATTCCACCACTCCTGCACTCTCCTTCTGGCAGAGAGCGAGCTTGACAGCTTCACAGGGAATTTAGATTTCATCCTTTCTCCCCTCCGCTCTCACAGTCATTTGCAGCACCACGTCAGCTCAGCTCGCCTCCGTGCCCAAGGCTATGGCAGTGCTTGCTCAGAGTCCCACGGCTAGCGGAGCAGGCAGAGATCCGTGCCCACTGTGGAGGAGCAGAGACACGAGCACAGCACGTTTCCCTCAGGCATTTCCTAGTGAGTGCCTGCAAGCAGCTTCCCAGCTCTCAGCTGCCATGGGACCCAGCTCCAGGCACATCAGGATGCACACGCAGCAAGAGCAAAGAGCAGTAAGAAGCCAAGGTTACCTCAGAGAGCCCCGTCTCTATCCAGCTGGGCATCCGAAAGATGGGGGACCGCATCAGGAAGCTGCTGAGGCCAGGGGAGGTAGGGAGCAGCTCTGACTCCTGCAGATGCTCTCCAAAAGTCTGGTCAAAGATGCGACTTGGCGCCACCAAAGATAAGAGCGGCCGGCGGATGAGGGGGTTGTGGATGGTGATATCCATTGGAAGGTGCGTGAGGAGCGGGGCCGGCGACTGCACTGCAAGGCTGTGCGGGGAGCAGGGCTACTTTATAGCCGAGTGGCCGGCCTGACCTCCCCCCGCCGAGCCCGCGCGAACCGTGATGTCAGGGATTTTATTGTCCTGCTTGTGGGCCGGTGCCTTCGCCGTGCCCGGGCACTGTCTGGAGGATTTGATCATGCTGCCGAGGAGGAGGGCACAGCGGAGATGAAGAAAAGGAGCCTGATGGGGCAGCAAGAAGCCAAGCTGCCCTGCCACCCGCCCTGCTCCCCACGTGCTGTTTATCTGCAGAGTCGCAGTCGGCTTGGCTGATGCTCCCAGCTGCTTCAGATGCCAGTGGGATCAATGCGGCTCCTATCTTTGGCTCACACGGAAAATGACAAGAGGCCGTTGTTTCTGCTGCCAGCCTCAGGGCTCTGTCTGCCGGCATCACCCACGAGCTTGGGGAGAGCTCCACACAAAGAGAGCCAAGGCTAGTTACACTGGGGGGAAAGAAGGAAAGATCCCATGAGGTGTGACTGCGTGGCTCTCTGCAGCCCAGCACACAGGGGCTGTGAGCGCAGCTGCCTCGGTGCAGGCTCGCCAGTGTGGCTGCAAATGAAGGATGTCTTCCTGCAGCAAGCTGCTTCGCTCTCTGCAGAAACCCCTTGCTGGAGAGAGCAGAAGAGCCTGGCAGTTGGGGAGCTCCACGTGCCCCAGCTGCAGCAGGAATAAACCTGCCTTGAGCCTTTCTCCAGGTCTCATCAGAGGGTGCTGAATTCCAGGACAGGCTAGATGGCCGCCTCTCAGAAGCTCAGCCGGAGCTGTGGAGGTGCCCGTAGAATGATCTTGGTCCTGCCCAGCCCAGTTCAGATACTTGGAGGACTTTAGCACTCACAGGAGCAAAAGGCTCAGGCTTCCAGTCAGTTCCTAGGAAAACCAAACTCCTTCATGGTGGGCAGGGGAAGGAGAGGCAGCAGTGCCCAGAATCCAGCCAGCTTTTTCCCACAGCTCCACAAACCCTACACATACCCACACGCCCTGCTCAAGGAGGGATCCCAGGGGGTGCAGGAATTTCCCCAGATGCCCCTGTCTGCAGCAATGCCTGGACTGCCTACAGGAACGCAGCGAGGAGCTTCCCTCGTCACCCTGGCGAGGCGTCCCTGGGCCTGAGCACACAGCTATTTTGGTCCGTCTTTTTATCACACACTCCTCCCTGCGGAATTCACCCCGTTAAAGCCTTGCAATCTGCAGCCTTCACTCTTAGCAGCAGTGAGCGCTCGGCAGGTCCCCGCTCCCAACGCACCATGGCCGCACGGACCGTGCCCCACGCCTACCCTATGAGTTCGGAGTACGAGTTTGCCAGCCCCAGCAAGATCTACGACCAGAACTTCGGGGAAGGTAAGGGGCAAGCCCTTGTGCGCCGTGTTATGCCCAGCAGAAGGCCTGATGGTCACAAGCCTGCACAGGACCTGCCTCCATGCTCCCCTTTGCTATTAAGGGATCACTGAGCGGGTGCCCCCCTGCCCACCAGCCAGACGCTGCGTACCCCACTACTCTCTGCTGCAGGGCCCCTGCCACTTCACCAAGGGTGAGAATTAGGCCCTTTTGGAAAGTGCTAGCGCAGGGAGGAGTTTTTGCAGCCGGGGGCAGTGGAGAAAAGCTGAGCTGGGGCGTTGAGCACAAAGCCGTCAGGGGCTGGCAGCAGGGGAGGAATGTGGGCAGCAGCAGAACCATTCAGTGTCCAGGCAGCGTGAAAAGGCCGAAAGCCCAAGGAAAGCCCCCTGGACAATGCCGCACAAAAGGGCTTTAGTTCCTCAGCAGTTTCTTCACCGTCAGCGTTTTCCCATGCCCAGCCCTGGGCCTGCCTCCGCAGAGCAGCCCATGCACCTAGCGGTGCCTTCTGCCCAACAGGGAGCCCGCGGAAGGTGGTGGCCGGATGCCACTGAGCATGTGTTTGGGAGATGGTGGCTCTGAGTGTGTGTTTTGGAGATGCAGAGACAGGAATTTAGTTCATTAGGAGCAGCTGGTGCAGCAGCAAAACCCAAGGGACCTGCTGCCTACATTCCAACCTCCTCCATACCCCATCAGCTCGGCTGCCAGCCCTTCTCCTTCCCCCCAGGAGCCCATGCTCCTCACTGCATCTCCTTTTCAGGTGTATCCCCCTGTGAGATTTTAGCCCCTGCCCTCTATCACGGCTACTACATCCGGCCACGGATCAACAAACAGCTGGACCGAGGCACCTCTGAGATCAGCCTCAACGACCACAAGTTCCAGGTGTTCCTGGATGTTTGCCACTTCTTGCCAGACGAGCTCACTGTCCGCACCGTGGACAACCTGCTGGAAGTGATGGGGCAGCACCCGCAGAAGTCTGACCGCCACGGCTTCATCTCACGAGAGTTTACCAGGACCTACATCCTCCCGCTGGATGTCGACCCCTTGCTTGTGAAAGCCACCTTGTCTCACGACGGCATCTTAAGCATCGTGGCTCCCCGGACCGGGAAGGAGGTGAAGGCCAGAGTCAATGAGGTGAAGATAACCCAGCAGAGGCAGCCAGAGGCAAAGGAAGTGCAGCCCAAGGAAGGGAAGGAGAAAGAAGAGTCTTAAAGGCCCCAGAGTAAAAAGCTCTGGGCCTTTGTGCTCCAGGGCTGGAGCAGGGGGTGGGGGGATGTCCTGGTGCCAGGCCCCTATTTCTCACCACCAGTGCTTAGCGGAGTGTGAGAACACAGAGGTGCATGTGGATGGAAAAAGGGGCTTGGGACTGAAAAAAGAGGGGCCCTGAAGTGTTAGTGTGAGGAACTGTAATGCAAGTTGTCTCCTGAGTCGAGCGCCCACTCAGCACCATGCAGGGTGCTCCTGGCCCATCCCGACTTGCAAGGGTTACAACTACACTCCAGCCTGGAAGGAGCCGCTTTTCCTGGGTGCTGGGAAGAGGGGAGGGAGGATCCTGGTGCCTCACTTATGAGCCAGCGGCTGACTGCTACGGAAGGGGTTGCAGATGGAAAGGCATGTCTAATGTGTAAAAGTGCCACAGCTGTTAGGATGAAAGAGGAATAAATCTGACAAACGTTCTCTCTTCTTGCCTCGGATTCACAGTGCTACTGGCCAGATTATTCTGCAGTGGAGAGTGCAGATGGCACCTCAGTGAGCAGAGCGGTGGGACATGCCCACTGAGCTTGGCATGGGGGACTTGAGGGGCAGCCAGGGCACCTCTGCCACCAACCCTCCTTGCTCCAGCGCAGACAAGGTCACTCACTCTGCAGGCTGACAGAAACCTCCAGGAGGGAAGCCTGAGGGCTAGGGGCTCTTGGCAGTTGACAGTGCATGTCTGGAAACCTTGCGGGCAGCCAGGCGCTCTGCATTGAGTTGTGGACTGGGCACACACGGCCCCGTTGCAGGCACCGTGATGCTTGGGGCACAGCAGGAATGTCTCCCTGGTCTTGTGACACCAGCGCAAGGATTGCGTGTGCGACGGACGGTTGGCTGCAGCTGCTGCCCTGGCTGGCCCCGAGGGCTCAGCCGGTGCCTGTCGCGCTCTGTCTTGGTGCCAATTAAAGCAGCTAAATCGCTGTGTCACTGACCAAATATGGGGCTCTTCTGTGGGGAGGCAGCAGGCTCCTGGGCCCCAGGGCTTGTGGGAGCATCGCTCTCGCCCTGCTGGGAGCTGCTCTGCTGGCCCTGAGTGCTGCCCCAGGGAGTAAATAGGACCCCAAAGAGCCCCAGGACCTGTCCCATGCAGCCAGCTCCGGGCTGCTCAAGCAGCGGGATCAAGCTGCCCTTTCTCACCAGCACAGCAGGACCCAGAGCAGACCAAGCCACTGTGCAGCTATTTTCTGCTCCCTGGGGCCCTTGACAGCAGTGAGGATGGGCATGAAATAAAGCACAGCCCTGAGGACCTTGCCATTCGCAAGAGAGAGAGAGAAGGAGGGCAGCGAAGCCTCTGTCCGCTGTACCACTGTCTGTAGTCGGAGGGATGGCCTCCCCCGGGAAGTAGGACTGGATAAGCTGCTGCCAGCAAGTATGTCAGAAGATGCTGTCAAAATAAAAGCCACCTGTGCAGCAGGCTTTGCCTCAGTCGATAATAATAATCTCAGAGATATGGAGAGATATGGACTTCCAAAGAACAGAAGAGGCTGCTTGTCAAAGCAGGAATTGCTCCTGCACATGCCGTATCTGATGCACAAATGCATCCCAGGTACAGCAGCCCGTGCCAAAGCCCTCAGCCCGTGCAGGGAGGATGCAATGGCATCTGTGCCTACTCTGGCTGTGCAGCTCATGGACTGCAGGTCACTAAGCTGCTGGGGGCTGCAAACGGTTTTGTGGCATTTTGAGGCAAATTTTTAGGCAAAAGTGGCGAAGAGAGTTCAGAGCTCTCTCTCCTTTTTTTTTTTTTTTTTTTTTTTTTTTTTTAAATGCCAGCTTGCTGTGTGCCTGTACAATACCTACAGCAGTGTGGTCCTCTTTCTTGGTGTATGAGGTGCCTTGCTGCTCCTGCGATACAAGTTAATAGTCACTACTCTCCTCTCCAACTGGCTTCTTCAGCTCTGTCTTTGCTCTCCTGCTTGGCTCCCGCCAGCTCGCATTGAGCCAGCTGCATGGCTTGTTACCCAGACAATGTCTCTGGGTGCACTAAAGCAGCTGCTTGGCTGGGCGATGCAGCAAGGGGGGCTGGCACTGCCTGGCGGGCAGCATTGGGCTGTGCGCAGGGCCCTTACCGGCTTTGCACAAAATAGCGTGATCGCTTTGCCAACTAGGAGCACTGAAAGCCAGGCTCGCTTTTATCCCTGCAGACACAGACTGACAAGGGAATGCAGAATGGCAGCCAAATGTTTTCTAGCTCTGCCAATGTTTTCGATGCCTTTCTGTTTCTCTGACTGAGCTCAAACCAACAGCTCCACCATTTGTGTCGGGGGCTGATGGGAACCACCTCTCAGCCTCTTTTTTTCTCTCTTTCCACAAAGCAACAAAGCCCAAGTTATCCCTGAAATGAAAACACAGACTGGCTCACTAAACCAACAGTGTCTGTGACAAATTCTGAGATGCACAGTCTGCGACTTCCTGAGGGAACACAGACTCCTGAGACCAACTGGTTTTTGCAGGAGCTAGAGAACACGGTCCAGTTGGCGCTAGGATGCAACCCTATCTGCCTCCACCAGCCTGACCCTAAATCCTCCAGGGCTCGAGGCACCGTGTGCACTGGCAAGCTCCCTGCCACATACTGGGCAGCTGCAGCAGTGTGAGAGCAGGCTCTGCAGCTCAACGTACAGCTCATCCGGGATTTGGAGGACATCTTTGTCCCATGGTCCACCCCAGGACAGTGCCCTTGGGCAGATAACAGAGGATATGGTGAGCCCAGCCCAGAGCAGGGTCCAAGGTGACCCCTTAGTTGCTCTGTGAGCTGGGACTGGCAGAGCTGGAGGAGGCAAGGGCTGCACGTGCCATACAGTTCAATCCAGCTATCCAGGAGGGCAAAAGAAAACCTCCCTGCTTGCTAGCACATCCCATGAGGGCTGGCTGCTGAATAGAGGCTCTGCAACACACAGCTTCAGCTGTATTAACATGATATCTTCTGGTGTTGGGTGTCAGCTCTTGTACAGCTGCTGGAGATTAGGGCCTTGCTGTGCAGTCCAGGAGCTGACAGCTGCTGTCTGAAGGGCTCTCCGCAAGAGCTGCAAAAGGCAGGTGAAAGATAGATTAATGTCCCTGTCTGATAGGCTAGGGGCTGCGCCTAAGGGCAGCGTTGTAGGTCCTTAATGGTGTTACGTCCCTCATGGGAGTCTCAAAAGCACAAATCTGTACTTCTAGGTCGAGGTAAAGACCTGGACTTTATAAAATGTGGATGCACAGTAATGTGCCTCAGGTTATGAGCACCTTCTGTCCGGACAGGTGCAGCAGCACTCAGCCTCAGCCGAGCGCAGACCTGCAGGGCCAGGACATGGCCTCCTCCCAGGGAGACTCGCTCAAGTGCCCGGGTGCCACCAGCCCCAGCAACACATTTCTCTCACATCCCACCAGAGATGCAGCAGCAATTGGAGCATGAATGGGACTGACAGCTCCTTGCCCCCAGGGCCTCCCCTGAAGTTTCTCCTCTCATTCAGGGACATCTGAAATATCCAACCTCTTCCGCATTGCTGCGAGCATTTGCTGCATGACACTGGCGGGAGAGGGGCATAGCAGAGTCACATTGCAGATCAGAAAGCAGCATTTTAACGGTGGAGCTGAGGCCTGGAGGCATGGCGCTACCTGCATGCTACCTGGCCCCCTCCTTGCAGGCAGTCAAGGTGGAGCAGAGCCTGGGGGCCGGGCAGCCCCAGGCGAGCCCTCCGGTAGATGGCACGCTCGGGCCTGGAGAAGCGGTGCCGAGATGGAGAGAAATCTGACACTGCCAGACACTCCCTTGGAATAGCCAGGGGCCGAGCAGGGAACCAGGAAATACAAGCTCTCCCTGTCCAGAAAACACTGCTGCTCCATGGAGGAGGGAGCGACATGGGCAATCTCTGCAGCTGCGGGCGAGCATGGTGAGTACCGCATCCGCCGGAGACCGGGACAGCTGGCAAGGGCTCGCGACAGCCCGGGCAGAAAAAGTTTGGGTAGACTTTGCAAGCTTTGCTTGCCGGCGCTGAGTTTTCCAGGGCTGCTGCCAGGCAGGCAGCCGGCACAGGTGTCGGCAGCGGCAGGGCTCTGGCCACCGAAGAGGGGACGAGATCAGGGGCTTTACTAATCCAGTTGCCCAGCCCAGACAGGCTGTGGCAACACCAGGACCAACAGCCTTGTGCTCCCCGGTTGTGCCAGCTGCTGACTGCAGTTCAGCTAAGCCCTCTGTGTGTGCCCCAGTGCTCCCCTGCCAGGTCAGCACCCACGGGCTTCCCTTGGTGTTCCAGGGGCAGTGCTGGCACCAAGGGCTCTGCGGGAGCTTCCTCGTCCCTCTCACAGCGTCCCCAGGCAGCGCCTCCTTAGGTTCCATCTGGCTTGGGGAACCCTGGCCACGTCTTTCAGATACTGCTGATTCTTCCTCCTTAAAGGACGGTGCCAGTTTAATTCCTTCAGGCTCACATGGTGCCTGGACCTCTGGCTTGCAGAGAAAGGGAATGGCGGAGCATCATTGAATACTGAGGGGAATATTTGCTGCTTTGAGAGTGGTACAAGCAAGAAGAGCCATGACTAGCAGCTGAAGTGCTGAGGACGCTCTCTCCAGCACTGCATTTGTTGAAGTATTAAAAAGCCATCATTGCTTCTTAATAATTAAGAGAGGTACAGCAGCACCTAGCGGCTGGAATGGAGGATGGGGTCAGGATGCCTGGATCCTCTGTCCAAGCCCCCAGTCGGTGGGCAGGACAGTCTGGGATCCAGAAACAGGAACCCTTTGGCACAGCCTGGTTGCCTTGAGGGAGCTGCACATCCTGGCTCTGCTCCCTGGAGCCGTGCAGGAAAGAGCTGCCGGCCCCGGGCATGGCAGAGCTCGCAAAGTCGGGGACTCCCGAGTGCAAGCAAGCCCGTTGCAGCGCACGTTGCAGTGCCAGGCTGAGGCGGTGCCAGGCTGTGCACAAACACCTCTGCCAGGGAAGGAAGCACGAGGCAGAATCTGAAGGTGACTCGCCTGGGCAGGGCCATGCAGGAGCACAGCTTTCCTCCGCCCTGGGGCAGCCGCGCAGCAGCAGACTCCCTAATGCCTGCTCCCCCGGGCAGTGTCAAGCACTGCTCTCCCCAGGCTACCGAGGGGGACTCCTGTGTCCCGCTTGATCTTTTTCCCAGAGGCTGCAAGGAAAGAAGAAGTCGGAGCACTATTTCTGCTGCAGGTGTCGCAACCCTATCACAGCCCTGCAGCAGATTCCTCCTGTCAAGAGCAAAGCTCTGGCCTAAGACGCAGAACAAGTGCCCTCAGCAACCCTGTGAGCTCAGGTGCTGACATCTGCCCTAGAGCTGATGCAGGGAGGGGAAAGCAGAGCCCTCTCCCCAGGTTCCCTGCCTTGCACAAGAAAACATACGGATGAAGAAGACCTGCAGCTCCGTGTGCTGCACAGACAGCTCCTTGGGGAGCAGGGAGGATGCCAAGAGGAACGTGCTGTTGGCAACGCGGGCTTGTGAGCACCTACAAAGACCATGACTAAAAGCTGACTGTGGTGTGTTGAAGCCCCACAGCAAAGAATTGGATGATTCATAGCTTTGTCTTGGTGTTAGAGGGGGGAAAATGGCATTTAGTTTTAGTTCAGGTGTTTCCAGGCATCAATACCACTTTATTTCTGGATATTTGCTGTCTCAGCAGCACCCTAGCTACATCAGCGAAGAGCTGGGCTTTCTAAATAAAGCTGAGACTTACTGCAGGCCTGAAGGGAGGCGGGGACCCACCTCCTTCCGCATGGATGAGCCTCATCATTATCACCACCAAAGTGCAGGCCCTGAGGGACACGCAGCAGATGGTGAGAGACTCTGGAGGTTCCTGAGGCTCTGAAGGAAAGGAAATTTATTTGCAGTGGGAAGTTACTAATGAGAGGATGTGCACCCAGGTCTGGGCACATCTCTGCATGTCACCATGCAGCAGTAAGGCTTTCCCTCTCCCAGAGAGTACTCCCAGATGGATTATGTAGCGGGCATGGAAACCAACTGATGCTGAGATTTGGGACCCACTGGAAAGCAGACTTGAATAGGGCAGAAATCGGGAAGGCACTGATGTTGGCAAAGAGGAGGAAGTGATACGGGAGCAGGGATGTGCATGCTGCTGCGCAAAATGCAATGTGCCTCTAGCAGGTTGTGAGTTGGTGCAACATGTTTGACCTGGTTTCCAGCAGAAGGAAGGAGAGGTTTGCCTTGCTCTTCTCTCCCTTGCCACATCTGCTCTAATTACCACACATCTGAGGCCAGGAGATGCTGCCTCCTCCTGCCTGGCTGTGACTAGCCTGCAGACAGCCCAGAATAGCACCCGCCTGGCAGCTAACATGCTTTCTTCCTATGAAGGCAACTAAAACAAGCAAAAGGCAGGCTGTAAAGCTGATACTGGAACCACTACCCCGGGAAAGAGGTCAGGGGCCCTGCTGACTGTATTTAAAGTGAGACTATTTTAATTACACTGCGCTACCTGCCCGAAGCAATGTGTGGAGCCTCAGGAGCCAGCAGAAGTGGGAGAGGAGCGCCCCAAGGCAGAGCCCTGCTGCGCTGAGCTGAGCCCCATGTCTGAGGCAGCCTCCAGCTGCTGTCTGCTGAGGGCGGGGGTCTCTGTGGCTGGTGGGACCCCCACAGAGCAGCGTGCGGCAGGGACATAAGGAGCACGGTTAGACCTTTTACTCACGCAGCCTGTGGGCAAAGGGCTGGTGCTGGGGCACCCTCTTGTTCAGCCTCAATGCCACCAGCACGGCCTTCCTGCTGCAGCACCTCCCACCTCTAGCAAGGCTGGTTAATCATTACTGGCCACTTGGAAGTTCTCCATGTTCCTTGCTCTCATTCACGCTTTTTAAAATCCAGTTTTGCTCTTAAAGCACCAAAGGTATCATTGCATATTCTCTGCCCTGCTAACCTGCCACCTCCACCGCCCTAAAAAAAGCCAGCGCTGGATGTCGGTGCATTCACAGCAGGAACCACACAAGGGCTGGCACCTGCTCTCCCCTGGCCCTCAGAACACGCTGCAACGATAACATTTGCTTCATGCCTCTGGCCCAGAATGTGACACGTCTCTGCTTGGGCACCCTACACTCCCCTTGGCAGCACCAGCCGGCGGGGGCTCCGGTCCTGCCTTGTTTTTACAGCAGGAATGAATTTGGCTCCCGGTTGTAGCATAGCTGAGATATAGCTGTATTTGGCCTGTCTCTCTCTTGTTGCATACGTAACTGAGGGTAAAGTTTGCCTTGGCTTATATGAAGTGTACAGCTTGTTTGGTTTGGTTGTATTTGGCTTGGTGGTGTTGAGGTGGAAAACTGAGAAGAGGAAAAACAATCTGAAAAAATAAATTAGCACAAGGTCTGTTCACAGCTGCTCCCTCATCAAGGAAGCCGAGGGTATGAGACTACCAGAGCAGATCCCTGAGAGAAATGTCTCTGCACCTTGCACCTCTGATTGCATACCTGCAAAACATGGAAATGTGGCTGCAAAACTGCAGATGTGTCTGCTCTCATTGACTCTGATGCAGGTGCATACTGGACAGCCAGACAAGGCTGAAGGACCGGAGACTTGGAGGTGTCTCTCGGGTGCAGTAGAATGCTGCAGAAGTAGAAGAGACATCACCAGGTCTTTTCTTTGTACTCTCTTCCCTCGTCCCATCTAGTAAACTGCCCACTGAGTGGACACCTTGGTGCATGTATTATGCAATAGCAGAGTGGAGGTTGGGGCTGCTTGGGGCTAACTTCTCTCTCTGATTTCAGGAAATGTCCTTCACCTTTTAAAAGAAAGAAGGAAAAGGAAGGTAAGGATTTGCAAAGCTGCTTTGGGGAACAAGAGCAGGGGGAGCATCTTAAAGTCCGGTATAGCTGGTATCAATCAGTCCTGAGCGTGAGATGGGAAGGCAGAGGTCTGCTCCCCACCCTTTGTACCTAACATTCCCAAAGAGAAGTTTGGCTGAGGCAAGAAGGAAAATTTCTTTAAAACTTAAGAGAAAAGGTGTGATGTTCCATTAGATTGGTAATGGGGAGGGAAAGGACTTGAGCATTTTCTTTAAAATGCCTGAGTTGCTCGCCAAAAAGCATATGAATACCAACTTGTAGGCTTGCGGTGTTAGCAACACAGAAGTTGTGCCATGCTCCAGCATGAGCCGCAAACATCCCCTGACATCATCTCTCTGGCCACCAAGTGCATTTACTAAGTGGCCCACTTGTGCCTTGTGGCCTTTGGATCAAGTTTGCCAAAACATGTTTGCCAGACAGCAAAGGAAATAGCAAAGTTAACACTGAGTCTGACTTCTCCAAAGGTCTGACAAGGAAGCTGTCTGTGCTGTGTACATCCTCCCGGGTTCTGCCAAGAACACTGCAGTCCACATGTTGTCATTTTGGGAAACTTTTTTTTTTTTCCTCCAAAGAAACAAGTACAAGCTTTCTTCTGAGAGGCAAGGCTCAAAGACAGGATTAGGGTGAAGATGTCAGATGGGCCATAAATTTGACATGTTTCCAGTGGGGAGAGCCTCTGTGCCAGACACTGCATTTCTGCATTGAACAACGGAACAATGAACAGTTGTGTTAACCTGATCTGCTGTTGTTTCTTTTTCAGGAACTAGAGTGAGACAGGAGAGCCAACAGCATCAGCATGGCAGGAAGGTAAACAGCTTCCTCGGGATGTTTTGCTAACGGGGCATCACAAGGACAGAGCTGACCATTGCTTCCTAGTCTAAGTGGTTTGGGAAGACACCGGACAGCTTATTTTAAGCCCGGAAGTGTCATCCTGCGTAGGCTGGGATAGTTGTGGGAACAACGTGTGTTGCTGCAGTGATATGGGCCCTCCTTTCCCCTTGCTGGAGCAGCAAAGTGCTGCCAGAACAGCCTGAGCCATCAGGGAGCTGGGTGCTGCTGGTGGAGGGCTGCAGGGTGTCTCTCCCGGGAGCAGGGGAAGCCAGCTGCAGTAGCAAGTGCAAGACCTGACCATCTAGAGCTCTTTTTCCCCAAAGGCTCCGATGTACGAAGATGTCCCAGAGTTTCCTGTCTATGCCACCGTAAATAAGCCCAAGAGTGTGAAACAGGACGAGAGCATTCATTATGCAGATATCCAGGTATTCACCAAGGCCCGGGAGCGCTCTGCGGAGGAGGTGAAGAACTTGCAAATGCAGAATGCCACAGAGTACGCCACCCTCAACTTCCCCAGGCCCAGGCTGAAATACGACAGCAAGAACGGGACCTTGGTGTAAGAGGCTTGCTGGCCCCCTCCTCCTTCAGCAGCAAAAGAATTTCACAGGTTTAGAGATGCTGTAGACCCGAGCCAAGCTCACGGATAGACCAAGTCTCCCTGAGAAGATGTAGAAAGGCTGTATCTTCCATCTGCATTTGGCTTTGGAGGACACAGACATACTTATCCTCACGTGAGGAATAGTCCTATCTGAGTCTGCTGGAAAAAGACATCTCTTCAGAAAACCTGGGTCACTTCTAAGGCTAGCAACTCACCCACTCTGGGCTCCGAGAGGAGGCAGAACTGCCCAACGGTTGATGAAGGCTAAAGCTGCAGCCCAGAGCTGCACAGAGAAAGTTTCTGCTGTAGCTGAGGTCTCCTGAGTGCGGCTCTGCAGGCAGACTTGGGAACACAGAAAACAGGATTAGATCCTGGGATCAGAGATATGTTGCCACTGGATTCTATGTCAGTGCTATGAAGATTCTGCTATGTGCTGTAGAAAATGACATGTGGAGGAGACTGCAAGGAAATGGCATGACATTTCTAACAGTGGTTGCCATAATGCCTTCCTCCAACACCAGCCACAGCACACTGAAGATCTCAAGCACTAGCTGCACCTCCTTTACTCAAAATAATAGTGTTTTGTGATGATGCACAGCACTAGGACCAAGGCCAGAAATGCACAACTGGCTGAGGGGTGCAGAACAAGTGCTTTTGCTGGAGGATTGCACAGGTGGGCATCCTCCCCTAGCACGTGTAATGGACTTTTGGCTCTAACTGGAAATGAAACAAGGGAAATCCACTATTTACCTGTAAAGCAGACATTAAAAGGCCATTGCCAATATTTAGGGGTAGTTATAGTGTACAGTAGCTGTTTGCATGCCTGTAACACTAGGAATGAATCGTGGCCAGCTTCAGTGAGGGCTTGGAGTTTTTCTCTGCTGTTTTTCTTTTATTTTTGTGTTAGCAGCCCTAGTTACAAAGCTCTAGAACATAATGCTCATGTCATGTGTTTTTTTCCTGCTAACCCTCCCACATATACATTTGGGAATCTGTTTATGGGTTTAAAATAGTGTTAGCAATGCAGTAGAGGAACTTCCGAAATGCTTCTGCTGCTGGACTGAATTTGATGTGTTGGCAGCTGAGCAGGGCTCCCTCATGGTCTATCCAGACACTAAATCAATGCTTGGCTCATTCTGCTCCTCACTGATGGTCTGAACAGCTAAATGCAGAATGTGGGATGATTCCTTTATTGCCAGTGTTTAAAAGTGCACAGCCTGCTGTAATTTTAAGCATACATCATTTCCTACATTATGGGTGAGCTGGATGTAAAGAGCCGGAAGCAGTTCCTACTCAGGACAAGCAGCAAAGCTGGCCCAGGCAGCGTTTGCTGGCAGGGAGCTGTTCAGAGGACCAAGCCCAGCACTTTCTACCTAAAAAGCTCATTTTGCCGTGCCATCCTTCAAACCTCATAGGGGCTATCTGCAGGCCTTGGGAAGCTTGCAGGGTAAGGCAGTGTATTTAGACACAGTATTAGGGTATTGGAAGGACTTTTTCCCCCGCGTGCCAAGGATTCCTCCCCGCCCTTCTCCAGACTCCTGCCTGCTGAGCCCAGCAACATTGGACACTGCAGATTGGAGGGACACGTCCTCCTCCAGGCACCGGAGGGGAACCTGGGGACGCAGCCAGGCGCCTTCTCCCCGTGACTCATCGGTACGAAGACTAGAAACACTGGCTTCGTGTCTAGCCCAGCCTTCCTTGGCATGGGAGTGACCTGCTTTATCAGACTGACTTTCTTATATGTGCTATTGAACACGGATTATCATTTAGCAATCAGGGGGAGGGTGTTGCAGAAGGTACAGGATCCTTTTTAAGGACAAATTCAGCCCATCCCCAGCAATGGACTTCTCTTCAGAACCTGCTTTTGCACTGAATAAATAATAAGAGACTCTGTGAATGTGGCCTCCCACATTCCCTAGGGTTGCAGCATCAGTGGGTTAAGCCAGCGCTAACTTTGCAAATGGTCCTTTAATGTCGAAGGTTGAATTTTCAGTTGTAACTAATAAATTTGCACTTTTTCGTGCCATCACTGCGGGTATGTGGGTACCCATGGGACCACTCACTGCCCCGCTGGCATTTACAATTCATTATGCTTTTCTTTTCTTTTATTAAAATAAATAAATAAATAAATATATAAATGTGTATGAAGGAAATTCCTTCCTGCCTGCTGTGGGAAAAATGTGAAGCCTACACTTGCACTGGAATGGGTCTTTATTTGGGAATTGCCTGCACTTGGAAGCAGCCTGGGGGATGTACGGAGGGGGGATGTGGGCTGGGGAGGGGCAAGGCATAGGGCAGGGGCAGCGGCCGAGCTTTTAACCGCTTTTTACACGTTTTTAACCGCATCTAAATCGCTTTTTACCGCGGCCGGGCGGGCCGCGGCCTGCGGGGCCGGGCCGGGCCGCAGCGGGGCCGCCCCCGTCGCCGTGGCAACGGCAACGCGCCGGGCCCGGGCCTGCGGCCTCCCGCCCGCGGCCGCCTCAGGTAGGGCCCGTCCCGACCCCCCCCGACTCCCTTCCCCGTGTCCCATTGCCCCGGCGTCCCTTTCCAGGGGTCCCAGCCCCTTCCCTGTGGCCCAGTCCCCGGGGCTATCCCTTTTCTGGGATTCCAGTTCCTTCTCCATGGCCCAGTCCCCTGGGCTTCCCCTTTCCTGGGATCCCGGCCCCCTTCCCCACATCCCAGTAGCCCGTCTGCCCCTCTCCAAGGATCCAGGTCCCCCTTCCCCAAATGCTGCCCCCCACCCTGTGCTGCCCCACTCACAGAGACATCCCGGCCCTGACAGCCCCTTGGCATCCTGCCATCTGCAGCCCACCCCTCCGACCGGGGTGACGCACCAAGGATAAAGGTAGCCAGCCACCTCGGGCTTATCGTCTGCCCATCTCTACGTGATTCTTAGAAATAGTTATTCTAGATTTTTTTTTCTTTTTACTCTGAAGAGTCTTAGCATTTTGCATTCTGTTAGCTCTTGCAAATGCCCCCACATTTCCTGTCATTGGACTTTTCTCCAGACCGCTAAAAGAAGACTACACAGATGCAAATTTACTGAAAATTCATAAATACAGATAAGTTGGTATGTGGAACTGGGTCCTAATATTATTTATGTGTCTTTACCACCGGGCTCCTTCAATACAGAATTAAGTAATAGCCTGGTATTTGACAGTAGAGAACAGTGTAACTTGGCTCCTGCAGACAAACTTCCTCCTGCCTTGCATATTTAACTTCTGCTGCATTTGGATTCCCCCTCTACACATCTTCATGCAGTACGAGCCAATGTTATCAGGAATCCTGATGGTATGCTTCAAGGGAATTCTGTCCAGTGTATATAATTCACATATGAGACAGGATACAGAAATGTGTAACTTTCTCTAAGTCCTAAGAGAGTAGTCCTAAATATATTCACTAAAGGCAGTGAAAAAGAGGTGGCAACTTTCTTTGCTCTGGTTAAATTAAGGAGTTGCCTTTGTAAGTTCCCTCCTTTCTTTTCCCTAAAAAGTTTCTTCTCTTTGTGTTTAACACATTGCTTCTCCTCCTCAGGTTTCAAGGCCCAAGTGCTGGTGTATTCACCGTAGCATTGACTTAAGCTGAGGCAGCCAGCATGGGAACTCTGGTGGATATGGTTCCCTTTGGCACATCACAGGCTCCTGCATCTTCTGTAAGTTTCCTGGAGTTCTTATGGGGCCTGTCCACAATTTTGGATTCTGGCAGGGGAAAGAAGCTCAGTGGCATGAAGGCCTTAGTTGCAGAAGGCAACTCTTTGTGCTATTCCTGCAGCTGTGGCCCCACATACTTTGCTTCAGAATCGAACTCTCTTGTCTTTACTGTCAAATTCTTAGGAGCAATATCTGAAGTGCAGCCAAGATCCTTGTCTCTTTCCCAAGACTATGGAAAGAAATAGTTGGTTAATGGTGATTAAAAAAAAAAATCCGTGGAGCGGAGGCTTGAAAAATGGCATAGGTTTTTGTACTGACAGTGCTTCTGTGACACCATGAAAGTCACACTGTGAAAACATGAAATGGAGAAGTGACAGGGCTTTGTAAAGTACCTGGCCTATGCTTGGAGTGTGGGAAAGTACAAGGGTTATGCTGAAACTGGCCGAGAGAGGGCAATGCCACCAACCAAACTGACATCCTGTATGGTTATTTTGAAGGTCACTCAATTGCTGCAATTTGTTGCTGCAAAAATTAAGTCTCCTTAATTTTGGATTCACCTTCAGGGAGTTTTAAAAGTCATTTTTGAAAAGAGAGAATCGAGAAGCACTAGTTTTTAGGTAGAAACACTTTTGTTTGCTTTTCACAAAGTTAGCATTTCAAAGGTCTCTTGTATGATGCTATAGGACTGAAAGAAAAATACGGTTCCTGCTACAAGAGTAAAAGAGCGAAACACAAAAGGAGAAAGCTGAGTTATAATTTTAAAAAAAGGAAAAAAGTATTTCAGAACGTGCACCCTCTCAGCTGCATTTGTGCAACTGTTACAAACAAAAGAAGAGCCCAGCATGCTCTGCTACTCAGGCTAGCCAACAGAAATGGCCTAGTTTCTATTCTCCAACAGTCATAGTGCCAAAATGAGGCAGTTCTCTTTCAGAGATAAGAAGCACATACAGAAGCAAATCTTTGATGACAAAAATCTCTGATGGGAAACGCACAGTGAACAGGCCTGTACCTGAGACTGGCACTTACAACAACACCTTGCCCTTTGCTGTGCTGGTGTTTGAGTAGGTGGCGGGTCCACAATAGGGATACAGGACTGAACGGAAGCACCTAAATTTTGTGTCTGTCTCCCAGCTTCTCTTGGTGATCCAAAAAGGAAGGCAGTGGAGGGCTTCTAACCTAAATAGTCTCTCCAATGCAGGGAAGCTTCTTCACAGCTTCGCTAGTGTATTCACCTGAGATAGTCTTTCTGCATTTCTCCAGAATGGAACTACTATATCATAGGTGACACATCTGGCTTTACATCCTCTCCATTGTGCCAAGAAATAGGGGTAGAGGGCCTGGGGTATAAAAGAGCATGCTCTGATTGACAGATATGTGACATATTGTGTGACTGTCTCTTCACTGAGGCTCAGACTGGGGCTAGTGCCACTCAGAGTTTGTACTGGGAGCTTGGAATTGTTTTGTATTTAGCTGATCAAATAGCTGTGTCTGACTTTTGAACACAGCTGCTCTGCACCCCTGACAAACTAGAGATGCCTGTCAAAACCTCTCATAAAACTTCTACAATCAAATACAGGTTGCACAGCAAGCAGTGGCTTAATGGTATTTCCTATATCCTGCTGTTGCCCAAATGCTTTGTAGTCCTTACACGATAGAGTGCAAACGCCAGTAGTAAGTGCTTCATTCTTGCCCATTGCTAATGCAACAAGACACCTACTAAATGCCACTGAGGATCGTGATAAATGAACCATTTTTCTCAGTGTATCAGCTTATCATGATTTAAACAATACTCTTTACAAATTAAATCCTGTGTATACTTCATATTTCTGTACTGTTTGAACAGATTATTTCTTATTCTTTTATTTATTTTTTAGGTCCTGTGAATTTGTGTCATGTCTCTCGTGTAAAATCTGTAGCTGCTGCCTATGGCTGCTCTCTTCTTCAAAGGACAAGTAGTAATATCTGGAGCTTGTGAGGATTATGAGCATATAATATTTAATCTGCTATCAAATTCATACAATAAATTGGAAAAACAGGGAACATCTACAAGCCATCTGCCAGCTTGCTGTGCAGACAGTTTGCATTTGATTTTATTTCCATATACCTTGCGTTTATTTTTCTTTATTCCATAAATTCAAGCGGTATAGAGAAGGATTGACCTTAGCCTTTTCACCTTTTAATATCGTACGTCTGCTATGAATATATATTTACTAGGTAGCATTGAAAAACAGATAGTAAATATGACCTTTATTTGAGAATACCAGTCAACAGTGTCACTGTAAAGTCCATAAAAAAAGCTCAAATGAGGTCACTTTCTGTCTAATGGAGAAACCCTTTATTGAGATTATATACCAAAATTGCTTGAAACTGCAAAGGCACAATCTACTTGATTACATTGTGGATGTTTCTTGTGTAGATGTTATCGAGGATAAATATTTATTGCAGTCTAATTAGCCATTTTGAGTCTTACATGCAGCCTGGATCATAGAGCTAACCATCAGCAGTGCTCGCTGTCAAGAATTCTATGCAAAGTCTCAAAATACTTTTTATTTTGCTTAACAACTGTGATACTGCAATCGATGATAACAGGAAAATCTTAGTTGACACTGAAATATTTAAAATACGTACGGAAACAAACATAAGTAAATAATTTAAAACTCATGTGTGATTATGGGGGAGGCGGCTAGCCTGCTTTTGAATGAATTGGATTGGTGAATGATGTATTGTTTGTCCTTCTCAATTTTAGCCACACATTTCCAGATGTGGTAGAGAAAATATTAGCATGACAAAATTCTGCTATTGCTTTCTGCTCCAGATGATTCCAATACTTAGGCTGAAAAACATGTTCGTTTTAAAGTGTGTCTTCTCACTTGGAAATGCTTGGGCAAAACCAAATATTATGAAATCCAAAGGCAAGCCTGAATGTCACTGGACAGTGCCTGTACTGTTGCTCTCTGGGTTGGCAGCAAGAGCCTCTGGCAAAAGGTGGCCTTTGGTCTTAGAGGCTTCTCGGGCTTTCTTTCCGGCATTTCCTCTAAGATGAGGAGAAGTCTAAGGGACTGCCTGGAGATGTTTGGTAGCTATTTTCTGGAATGAATGCAGTTTTTACTGACTTAGAAACTTTGCTTGCAGTTGTATTTAATTCTATTTGGAAAGTTTTCTTTCTTTTGTTTTTAATTCCTTAACTTCTTTGCATGGCAGCGAGAGTGAAGGCTGGTACTGCATCAAGGTTGTTTGCTGTGCTGCAGCCCGGCTGCCGTTTCCTGCCTCTGCAGGGTTTGCTGAGAGCCCAGGGCTCTTTCTTTGGGGCTGCTGACCCTTTGCTGAGAGTTAGAGGTGGAGGATGTTGCCAGTCTTCCCCCCGCAGCCTTCTAGCCAAGCCAGACATGCGCTCCCTGCGTTCTCCTTCCTGCAATCTCCCTGCCCCCACGCCAGCCAGAGCCCGCCGTGTTGGGGGGGTTTGAAAATCTCTTGCGCGCAGCAGGTTCCGCGTGAGAACGCTCGCTGGAAATAGGTTTCAGATGTTTCCCCAACTCGGTCCTGGGCCTGCATCTTGTAAGCTGAAGCGTTTCTATAGGAACCGTATGACATCCAGCTTGCAACTCCCCCAGCAGCTCCCTCCTGAGCATGCCCAGTGCGAGCCCTGACTTTGGCTCAACTATCGTGCGTGCAGGAACGGGCTGCACACATGGGACTATGAACGCGGTTCCTGATGAGCTCCAACCCTTTGTCTTTGGGAAGAGGAGAAGGAGGCCGTGCCCTGAGCCGGAGGAGCTGCCCTGCGTCCGCTGAGACCCCCGCCCGGCGGTGGGCTCGTGGAGAATGCTCGCCTGTTTGGCCAGAGGGAATGTCCTGGATATCCTGCAGGAGGGCTTCACGGAGGTAAATGCATGACCCACGTCTTAGACAGACCCCTCCAGGGCAAGGCAGCCTGCTCTTGTGCAGCCTCTCGCAGGATTTGGTGTGTCTCCCAGTGCTCTGAGCAGCAGGAAAGGAGAAAAATGAGCAACATTTCTGGGAGGGGGAGATGCTTGCTAGCAGAAAAGCACACTGAGCAGTGCAGCCAGGGGTCTACAAAACAACAGTAGTTTTGGAGAGTTTGTAGCTGGTTTACAGCTGAGGTTTTTAGCTCTTTTTTATTCTTGTATCAGAAATACTATAAACTGTAGTAAGGTTGTGGAGAAGGGTTATTTTGTAGTACTGCCTCCTCTCTTAGGTACATGAGATCTTTATGTCTGAGAGCTGTTGGAAAGACTGTAAATCTGCTATGTGGACACATCATGGGTTTTGAGAAAGGCTGACACAGAGCCGTCTGTCTGGTTTGTTATTCCATCCTGTTCGGTGGGGGGACTGAAATGCATCTTGGTCAGGAAAACATCATTTTTGAAGTGCTCTTTATATGCTTATTCTGCTGTCAGGGAGCCAGGTAAATCTTAAAATAAGGAATGAAAACTGCCAACCAGTTCCAGAGATAGGAATGCTGAGACTGCAAGGGGAAAGCAGGTTGCTTGCTTCCCTCTTCAGGGTGCGTGAGAAGTTAGTTGAGCTGGATTCTCTGTTTGTGGACTGGTACGCAATGCCAGGGCAGCCCCTGCACTTCATTGTGTAGACCACGCTGGAACACCATTTCCTGCCTGTAAGCTGAGAAGCAAGGAAAATTGTGGGGGCTTGTGCTGGAAGCAAAGTGGCTGCTGTCTCCTTTCTCACCTGGGGGCGGAAATGCTCTTTTGGGGTGTTCTGTTCATTCTTAGAGCACATATCCTGTTCAGGTTGTGTTCCGTGATTCTCATGCATGCCAGGCCCCAACCCATCTCACTGTGCTGCCCCTACTACTCCACTCTTGGGAGCAAACGCACACCCCTTCCGAGCGCAGCAGCACCAGTGAGCAAAGACAAAACAAAAGAGGTCTGAAACTGGAACCTCACAGCTTCACGCCAACCACAAGTCTCCTCTTAATGCT